CATAAAAGACATAGGTCATAAAATTTCAGAGTCAGCTATCTCAAAGACACTTAATGACTTAGTAAACAAGCTACTGAGCTACACCTAATAAGCTATATAGCTGATAATTCTTTTAAGTTTACCTAGAAAGGCAAAAGTTGAAATCCAGGAAGTTATTAAGAGCCTAAACCAATGATGGTGAACCTTTTAGAGTTTTCAGTGATACAAACAGCCTGCTGCGGCTGGTGTACCATAGGTTCACTGGCAGCAGCCTAAACCAATAGGCATGGGAATTAGAAGATGATAGATAGATAGGTAGATAGATAGATAGATAGATAGATAGATAGATAGATAGATAGACTGACCAATAAACAAAATGACGAATTACTTTATTACTCAATCTCACACTAAAGAACATCAAAATAGTGCTACTTACTGGATTGCCAACTGACCAATAACAAAATGACAAATTACTTTATTACTCAATCTCACACTAAAGAACATCAAAATAGTGCTACTTACTGGATTGCCACGGGAGCCAGGGGGGCCAACTAAACCTCGAGGGCCAGGTTCACCCTACAAGCAAATTCTGATGGTTACTGACCCAAAACAGCTGTAGGGCAGTGAAGACCACATATGGATAATAGTCACTGAGAACCCTAAGATGATTATCTCAGGTACCATATTTTAAGAAACAGAAAATATAGCAAAAGAGTCAGAATTCACACCTTATGATTTTGATGTCACAAAATAACAACTTGTGATTTACCTTTTCTCCAGTAGGACCTGCAGGACCTGGAGGGCCCAAGGGACCTGGAAGACCCTGTCAATTAACAGAGGACAGTCATACTGAGGAAGATAATGTGCATGAATCTCCAAGTTAGAGCAAAAAAGCAAAATCACAGTGACAGTTTTGTTGGAGTTTGCCAGCTTTGGAAAATCATGATTTCCAATAAATGACATAATTTGTACAGTTTTAAAGTCTTTCTGCATAATGGTACACCATTCTCACCAGATTTTTCTCTTTTTTAAATCTCTTTCATCCAACTCAACTCATGCATTTGGAACATTTTCTTCAAATATTAGTTCTAAATTGATGCTTTTCTTCAACCAAGTCTTTCCCTAATCTATTTGGTTTTGCTGGAATCTCTTATGAAATATAAACAATATTAAAACAAGGCTTTTGTTTCTCTCTAATATTTCTCATATTGTGATATCATAGAAAAACAGCACTCTTTTTATTTTGAAGAGAGAAGTTGTGCTGAAGCATTTTCTTTCCTACATTCTTCTGGAGTGGAAAGCAGTGGACAGCGTCAGAGTTAGCCAGCAAGACAGCCAGCGCCTGGGGACCCAGGCTGGCTCTCCTTGATGCGCTCACACTTTGCCATCCACTGAACTGTTTGGGAATGTTTTCCAATACAAGCTGGTTGGTATTTGTGCCACTTCTTCAGAGCAGCCCAAATATTCCTTCACTGTTACTCAAGAAACTTCGGGAACAAAAGTGACTTTTCAATTTCCTATATTTTGAAACAAACATGAGAAAATGGTGTTATCCTATTCAATAGGTCTACAATGAAACAGCATGCTTCCAACGATTTACATAATGTACGCCCTTAAAGGGTTTGATTAAATATAGAGGTCATTTCAGGGCCGGCGATGTAGCTCAGTGGTTCTGCTGCCTGCCTCGCAAGCACAAGGACCTGAGTTCAATCCCCGGTACCAATAAATAAATAAATAATACAATAAAATAATAAATAAATGAGATTATCTCATTATTGCTGCCAGACACTTCTCTCCCACAAAATGCATTCCTTTTTTTCATTGCTATGAGATAACAGTAAATTCTCTACTCTACTTCTTTCCTAAAACAATGCTCCTGAACTCAGCAAAAAGCAGTCATTGCTTAGGCCTTGATAATGCCACACTGCATTTTTTTTTCTTTTTGATACCTGGGATCAAGCTCTGGTCCTTGTGCTTGCAAGGCAGGCGGCAGAACCACTGAGGTAAGTCCCCAGCCCACATTGCATTTTCAAAGGCAGTGAATAAGCCCAGCAGACCTGTCTTTGAGTTTCTCCTTAAAACAAACTATCAGTGCCTCACATCTTCAAACAATGCTATTTACTGTGCATTCCAAAATACTCATGATAACAACGTGAGATAGAAAGAACAGGGCTAAAGGTGTAAGGGAAATGGGAATTGTAGGGGAAAGGTAATAAGGGAATAGAAAAGAAAAACATGAGAAAATGGAAATAGAGCATTTGTAAATAGGGAAGGGAAAAGGGGTGAAGGGAGGGTGGGGACAAGGGGAAAAAATGAGAACCAAGACCTGTCATGTAAAGGTACAAGATCCCAACAATGAATGTAACTGTGCTGTATACCTAAAATGTACCAATAAACTCAACGAGAAAAAAATACTCATGATATAGAACACACATACACACACACAGAATTCTACATGACTTAGATTGCTTTCGAATTATTAATTCAAATACAGTATTAGATCAAACTAAAAGACAAAAGATAGTTGGCTTATAATTTGCTAAAATGCTTTTCCCCTTAATTAGCTTTTTATAAGAAGAAAAATGAGATAATTACCACTAAGGTAAAACTTGTCTATATTTTTCTGTATTTTCTTAATAAACAGCCCAAGGGCTCAATATGTAGAACAAAACAGTAGCTCAGTGTGAATTCTTTTTGTAATGGTACAAGTGCCATTGTCAGGACATAACATGACAACAACAAAGCAGAAATAAGAGCAGAAATAACTCACAGAACAGCCAGAACTAGTCCAGAAAATGCTTGATGCTTGAGCCACTGCATGAGTAAATAATTCATGCCAGAAAATATATCATCTTTCTAGTCTGAGTGTCCTTGGAATTGTAAGTGTGCATTCTAATTCCGAAGGCCTTAGTTGTTAAATATCAATTTCTGCCATGACACGGACCAATGTTTTGGTATCAAAAGTCCTTCCTGACACTCTTCGTGTTCAGCCTCTTTATTGGTGAAAACATTTATGCCAACTCTCCGAGTGCTGATTTTCTTTTCCCTAACATCCAGAACATTGAGAGACACTTATTACAACTTCACTGAATATAAACTTCTATTCACCGGTGCATTCGACCAGTGTTTTAAGAGAAATGAAGACTGAACATAAAAAGAAGATAGAGAACAAGAGAACCTGCCCCTTAAAGCACCATTCTGTGGCTTATTAAATTTGTGGGGGTTCTTTTGTTTTTGTTTTTTGTTTTTTGGTACCAGGGATCAAACTCGGGACCTTGTGCTTGCAGGGCAAGCAGTGAAACCACAGAGCTAAATCCCGGCCCTTTAAATTTGTGTTTTAATTAATTCCTTCAGCAATGACTTTGCTTTTTGCCTTTCTGTAATTTGGGATAGGCAAAATAAATACCCATGTATGAGCCACATCGAATCTCAAATCCACCATTCTCCAAGTCCTGACCACCAAGGAAGCATGATTAACTGTGCTTTTGAGAAAAATGAATGCTTTCACTTACTCTTGCGCCATCATTTCCAGCTGTGCCCTCAGCACCTTTCTCTCCTATGCCACCCTAGGAAAACATGAGAAATACCATTTATTCATCTAACTGTCTCTCACACTTACAAGGAAGCATTGTACCAGCGTTTGTATTTCCAGCTGTGCCCTCAGCACCTTTCTCTCCTATGCCACCCTAGGAAAACATGAGAAATACCATTTATTCATCTAACTGTCTCTCACACTTACTAGGAAGCATTGTACCAGCGTTTGTGTTCTTACCTGTATCCCCTTGAGACTGGCACTGTGCATTTTCTCAAAAAATGTTTTATTTTACAAGAATGAATGAATGAACAAATGACTCATGACCCAGAATGGTAGAAGGAAAGGCTTGTTCAAGAAACCATTATCAGTAGGAAGTCTACAGCAAGAAACTGAAAAATGAGTTAATGAATAAACAGACTCACTCTGTCACCCTTGGGGCCAGGAGTTCCCGCGATTCCTCTCTCTCCCGGCATGCCTTGGAGACCCGGGGGTCCTATGTCTCCCACCGTCCCAGTGGGACCAGGACTGCCCTAAAATGAACAAACTATAGTGACCTTACCCATAGATCAGGCCTAGACTACACAAAATTGCTGCTTTAGGGGGTCAAGATAATTGAATTAAAAATGTGTTTGTGTCCGGGAATGGTTGATAACACATTCTAGAGCACAATTCCCATCCCAGAAGACTTGTTTTTAGCTCACTCTTCACTTTTAAAAAGAGCAACAACAATAAAAATCCAGTAAAGCACTTATTAAATATTTGTTGAATAAAAAACTATATAATCAACTTGTCTTCCAAAAGCAAGCGCAATGCATCTAACACTGTGGCGTGCTGGGTGGGCAGTAGCTCGAGTGTTTGAGAGCCAAGCTCGGAACTCCACTTACCTTTGGGCCATCGGGGCCGTGTCCTCCAGCCATGCCCTTCTCCCCGGGGAGCCCCGTGACTCCTGGTTCTCCTCTCTCGCCAGGATTTCCTCTTTCTCCCTAATATAACATTAGAATGTCAAACAGTCGCAGCACTGATCGGTAAAATGGCTTAAAAATGTTCCTGTAAAATGATTACTAGCAGAGAAAAATTTAGAAATCAGCTATTATGCCTCCATTGTTTTACTTTAGCTCTAGGAAATGAACCTGAAGAAAGGGCACTCTAGTTTCATGTGACTATTTCTCATAAAATTAATTTTCGTCTAGTAGGCGAGTCTAAGGATTAAAAATAAAGTCTGTCTTAATAAAAGATGCATTTGCAAAGTGAAGCCAGTGGTAAACAAGATTAATCATGAAACAGAAAGCACTTACTCGAGGTCCTAAGGGGCCAACAGCTCCAGGTTCTCCAGGAACACCCTATAAATACATTTTTAAAAGGGGGGGAGAAAACATTGAGCTGGATCTTTGGCATTTATCAGAAATCTTTCCAAGTCGCACATCTAATTTTCTTTAGTGTGCCATTACAAGGCTGAATAAGCCCACAACAGTGAAGAATGAACAATATGCATACTGTCATAAATGAGAGGAAAACACACATATTGAATAGAAACGATAGAAACAGTTTTCCAGAAAAAAAGGATACCTGAGTTTTTTATTTTGGGGGGCAATGACAAAGTGTGAACCATTTTATACAAAGATAGCACATTACCTATTTCAGAGACAGTAGAATATGTTCAAAGTGTCTCTTATTTCCTAATGAACCAAGAAAATGTTTTACAGAGAGAAGAGTAATGTAGACAGTAATGGAGAACTGATCTTTTCTTCTTCTGACAGGAGATTTTATTAGGGGAGGCAGGTTAGGGAGAGAGGAGAGAAGGAACAGAGAGAGAGAGAGAGGAGAGGAAAGAGAAGAGAGGAGAGAGGAGGAGAGAGGAAGAGAAAAGAGAGAGAAGGAGAGAGAAGAATAAAGAGTGATCTTCCAAATGAAACCAATTCAATTTTATTTAATTGAGTGACTATTTCGTGGGTATTAACATAGACAAAGAAGTCTGCTTGGTCTCATGAGCTCTTCAAGGTGACCCTGATCACATAGTTGACATTGTTGGGAGCCGAGTTTGAGTGTGCAATTTTGGCTCATTAATGAAGGAGCTTCCGCAGGTCACTGAGAGGGACCAGCGACACTAACATACTACTACTAAGGTATCCCGAACCAGGAATGTGCTTGTCTCCATAAAAATCACTGGAAATGCCAAATATCCTTGACAGTGAGGCTGGCATTAAGGGAGCCACTGCTCTGTCCCCCTCTGTAGCAAATACCTCGGAGGAGGATAGACAGACAGACAAAGTATGCAGGAAAGGAGCTGATGGCCAGGAGCGGAAGACGAAAATCCACCCCATAGAGCAATGACAGAGTCAAGAATAACAGTGCTAACTAATTGTTCAATTGCTCCCTGTGCTTCAGAAGAGTGTGTGTGTGTGTGTGTGTGTGTGTGTGTAAAACCCTTCAGTAAATACGTGCGTCCATATGCTATGAGACATTTCTACATATTAAAAAGTTTCAAAGGTATCATCACTTCTAAAGAGTGTTATCCTGAGAATTTATTTAACTTCAAATGAATCAGTTTTACTATCACCTGAGGAACTGTTAGAAGAAAACAGTCCTTAGAAGTGAGCCCAATAAAAAGAGTGCATTGATAGAATTTTCTGGCCCTTGGCGCAGCTGTTCTCCTTGCATCATATGTAATCAACAGGTGCCGTAAGACCGTGATCCAAATCACTTCCTCCTGCATTAAAATGCAGACCATATTCGGGGGGATATTGAGGAACAACAAGCATCCTCATATAGGGGTTGTTATACAGAGTCCATCAAAAAATGTATACACTCTTCAGGAAAAGAAAAATAGTACGGTATTTTTTCTTACAGATGGTACGACCCTCGTATGGGGGACATCAGAGGATGTCGTGTATCAAAGAAAAGCCACTGCACTGCCGGCCCTTAGAGGAGAAATTGAAAATACATGTGCAGTGATCTCAACGACTGAGGTCACCCAAGCAGCACTCGCCATACTAATAAATGTCCGGAAGCTCACGGCCACCACTGTGAGCACCTCTTGTAGATGTGGAGGCCAAAGGTAACTTGTATTACTCTCATTATGTCTCAGTAAATTGAGCATTAAAATATTTATACGTTTTTTCTTTTCCTGAAGTGAGAATACATTTTTTGGCAGCATCTGTAAATACAGAACCTCATACGTATTTTTGTTCCTCATTATCGAAAAAACGTCAGGCCAGCTTATTTTTCATCAGTACCAGACATCATAGAAAAAGAATACATATTTTGAAGACATTTGTCTTTTCTTGAATGCTGCGTTTATTTGCACAGCATGCTTAGGGAATATGCCACAGTAGCACAGCCATTCCTTATTTAACGACGGAGTTCCGCTCCTGCGACTAAGTTGCTAAGCGAATGAGTCGCTAAACGAAGAACCGTATACAGTACGTACATTACAAATAAATGGTGAATGGAAATCCAACTGGGTGACTTTGCTCTTTCTTTCCATAACTCTTACATACAGTATTATAATATATGACAGAACATAAAACTATAGTACTGAACTATATAGTACAATCAGCAAAAAAGTACAGTATAAACAAACTGCAATATAATACACAGATATAGATATAGACATTGAGGTTCTATCAACAAGATGTACAGAACTGTACAAAAAAAAAGAGGGATCATAAGTCCAAACAGTGCACCTTGGTCGTAACTGAACACTCATTATGTGGGCTGGTCGATAAATGAGGAGTATTTGTATTTAGTGACCAACAGCACAATCTTTGGAAACAGAAACCTGGTTCGAATCATATCATCTATGACTTTAGGAAAGTTATCTAACACATCTGTGCTCCAGTGTCCTCACTGTTAAATGCTGATGATAGTACACAGTACACAGGCTTTTCCGGTATAAGATAGCTTATGCAAAGAAAACTGCTCAGAAAAAGTGATATCTTAAGGTATTATTATTTAAAAACTTACTTGATCTCCTGTCTTTCCGGCTTCTCCAGGAGGTCCTGGAGGCCAAGAGGGATCATAAGTCCAAACAGTGCACCTTGGTCGTAACTCTGAACACTCATTATGTGGGCTGGTCGATAAATGAGGAGTATTTGTATTTAGTGACCAACAGCACAATCTTTGGAAACAGAAACCTGGTTCGAATCATATCATCTATGACTTTAGGAAAGTTATCTAACATCTCTGTGCTCCAGTGTCCTCACTGTTAAATGCTGATGATAGTACACAGTACACAGGCTTTTCCGGTATAAGATAGCTTATGCAAAGAAAACTGCTCAGAAAAAGTGATATCTTAAGGTATTATTATTTAAAAACTTACTTGATCTCCTGTCTTTCCGGCTTCTCCAGGAGGTCCTGGAGGCCCAGGGAGACCCTAAAATTGAAGAAAGGAAATAAATTGTGAATCTGTGAAAGCTTAACAGACTATCAATGCAAAGTCTCTGTGATCATAAATCTGCAAACAATATTGTATAGCCACGCTGAGCAGATCTTCAAGAAAATAAAATTAAGACACATTAAGAAAACTGCATCTAAGAAAACATAGGAACTCATCAATTTACAGGGTTAGACTTCCTTAACTTTCACATCATTTGGCAAGAGAGAGAGAGAGAGAGAGAGAAAGAGAGAGAGAGAGAGATGAATATAGTAGGAATTTTCATGCTCTGAGAACAATACTAGAGATTGCTAGATATTACTGGAAATCAGTTCTAAGGTTATCACAAACTATGATTGTTTATGCTATTAAGCACCGTATGTAAATATGTGCATATGAATCATGAAAATTTGTTCAATAATACATCCTATTGACTGCATCAATAAAATAAGATAAACCTTAAAACAGTTTAATGAGCCTTATTCACACTAGGAAAATTTTGTTATTTTTAATGTGTTAATAATTTTGTGTCTCATCAGTTTTCAGGGAAAGTCCATTCTTACTCTTTGAACCAAAGTATTTGATATTTATCCAAATATTTATCTTACTACTAAAAGATGAATGACTTTTTTGAAAATTTGAGAATCTCAAATCATTCAAACTTACGTTCCTACAATTAATAGAGGCATTAACTGGAAGAAGAGACGGAACCTGAATTAGCACTGACCTGAAAACCAGTGGGCCCCGGAGGTCCCTGTTCTCCTCTTTCCCCAGCGAGACCCTAAGTCACAAAGGAAAGAAAACTATGAATACAGTAACGTTTTCTGTCTCCTTCCTGTTTATGTGAACATTAGGAGAACTTATATCTCTTTGTATTGCTTTCTACCACGTTTTTCACTGCAGCCACATAATAAACTATTAAAAATCATTAAATAGTATTATTTGAAGTCCATACTGGTGAGAAAATATCTTCTAAAAACAGTGAAGAGTCTTATACATCTATTTTTGATTCAAACATAAAATGTATGGATCCAATAGTAAAATTAGGAGAAAAACTGAGCATGGAAGAAAAAAAAACATTAATGTATGTAATTTAAAAGGGCAATAGTTTCCACTGTATTTTATTTCTATGTATCATAAGCAGTAATTAAGATTTCATGTCCCAAATGACAAAAGAAAGCAAAGTTAACATTTTAGAAAGATATTTAAACTACCCCATCCTAAAGCAAAGAAACATGCCAAAATATTTCTAATAAATAATTTTAAAAGCCTAGGATGAAAACATAATCTCAAAGGGCAAGTATTATTCCTTTTCTCTCCTTCAAGAAAAGCTAGCTTAAAAATATTTTTATGAGATATTATTGGAAAAAAGTAGGTTTAATCCAGTATTTAAATATTTTGCTTTTCTATTATAGGTATGCAGTGCAACAAACTTAGAACAATTACATATCAGAACTTGTTCCTTTTTACTCCTTCCCATCTCCCGGCAAACTCAGACCCTCCTCCCAACCCCACAAAGTCTGTCTCTCTGTTTTCTAAAACAAAATATATTACAAAATATTTCTTTGTTAAAGACTATTTTCCTCTGTTGACATATTCTTCAACTATGACACGTAAAGATGAAGAGGTAGCCTTTGCCATTGGGTAATTTGAAAGTTGAAAATGAAAAGACCAGTCATTTTGTTTAAAAAGAAAGCACAAGATGACAAGGAATCAAATGAAAAGATATAACCAAAATTCTTCAGTCCTGTAATTTTTATTCACTTCCCCTGAAATCTACATACCCCTGAGTAAAATCTTGGACAAACCTATCTGTACAATTAGGTCTACAAAGATGATCACTGAAAGATCACGTACCGGGGGCCCAACAGGACCAGAGGGACCAACTTCTCCATCTTTTCCAGGAGCTCCCTAGTGTCACAGAGACAATTTGTGAGGCAAGGCTGTGGGAATTTAGATAACTTCTTTATTTTTCTTTAGTAGAAAATGAATAGTTACCCTCTGCCCAGCAACACCAGCATTTCCTGCTTCTCCAGGTTTTCCAGGGTCACCCTACAGAATAAACTGAAGCTATTCCAAAATTCCATCAGTTTGCTAAAAACATACCTCGGTCTCCAAGTGAGGATTCTGAGGAGACAGAAGATATTATCCACCATACTCACACTGCTCCCTTTGGGGCCTGGAAGACCCATGCTCCCAGGCTGCCCTCTGATGCCTATGGATCCCGGAGAACCCGGGCGGCCATCTTCCCCTGGAGCACCCTAGGAGATGGACAGAGCCCGGAAGTCACACAGAGCAGAGGCGCGCTCTGAACACCACATTGCACAAGTCGGCACCTGCCTTTGCTTACAATGAAAGCTATATAACTTGTAGATTTTCCTGTGTTTTAATGTAAGTGAATCAGAACAGCTGAATAAGTATTTTAAGTCGTTAGACCACAGATTTTACTCTAACTGTATTCATAAACTTCATGTTTACATTTCCTGGAACTCTTGTATATACACTAGTTCATACTGCAATATTGGAAATGGGCTTAGAAGACAGAGGCTGTCAAAATTCATACTTCTTTATCTCTTTACTAGGGCAAAATTGAATCTCCAGAAATAAGAATGCTGTTAATAGGTGAATTTCACCAATATTGAAATTCATCATTTATCTCTTCCACCAAAGCAACTTCAATCTCAAATATGATGTTAAGAAAATTTGATCTATATGATGGTTAATTGGAAAATACACAGCCCCTAAGAATTTGCTACCAAGAGGCATTATAAATATGATTAGGTATCCACCTAATCAAACACATGAACCTCAAATAAATATCAATTAAATTAAATGCCAATTTAAAATATTACAAATGATAGATCTACGTTTAAATCACTTACCAAAGGTCCCAGTTTTCCTTCAGGGCCTTGAACACCAGGATTTCCTGTCAGACCCTGAAAATAAAAAGCAAATGTGACTTTGTTGCTAAACAGCAAGGGAAGTGCAGAATCTAAAGGGGAAAATGCATCTTGCATTGTTGGCAACTGAATGTAACAGCAATTCCATAGCTCACATAAATGTTCAAGTGACTTTGCATCAAAATTAAGCTCAAGAATTGTCTGTAACAAAGGCCAAACAGGTTTTTTTCAGCAAGAAATGAAAAACTATAAAAATGAACAAGCAGGAGCTTTTACTCATGTCAAGTGGTAAAGCTCTTAATGCAAGCTACTTTGACAAAGGGAGACACGAAGATTTTGTGCTTTATCTGCATGACAAAAATAACTGGTGCTTTAAAAATGAGTTGGGTCAAAACCATAAAAACAAAACAAAACAAAACAAAATGTTCCCAGCTGTGAATGAGCTAAATTTTAAAAAGATAAAAAACGGGCTGGGGATTTAGCTCAATAGTTCTGCCATCTGCTCCACAAGCACAAGGTCCTGAGTTCAATCCTTGGTACCAAAATAAATAAATAAAAGATACAAAACCTTAGCAAATGCCCAAGAGGATTTCTTTTGGTCAAAGTAGCAGACAGCTCAGTGTTCTTACCCGAGCACCAGGAAGGCCGGGTTCACCAAGACGTCCTGGGTCTCCCTGGCCTCCTTTAGGTCCAGAAGAACCAACAGGGCCACGCTCTCCTTGAGCACCCTGTTCCAAAGCACAGCACACAAGTCAGGATAAAAAGGGAGCAGCAAAAGCGAGCAGAGGTTAAACTCTTATTTCCTAATATAACTATTTCATCAAAGAAGTTATAAAGACTTATTTGACAACAATGTCATGGGACATTTTGTCCTCATTTGTATTCCTTGTAAATATGTGGGGGTTGTTATTTCCATCATTAGTGAAACTTCTGGCCTCACTCCAATAATTTAATTTTTTTTAGAGGAAAGATAGCCTCTTTATTTGTTTTATTTTATCTTATTTTGATTTTTTTCCTTTTTTCTTTATCGATACATTTTATGTATACAATACAGTTACATTCATCACTGGGATCTTGTACCTTTACATGATGTATCTTGGCTCTTGTTTTTTTTCCCCACTCCCCTACCCTCCCTCCACCCCCTCACCCTTCCCTATTTACAGATACTTTGTTTCCATTTTTTTCCTTTTCTCTTATTTTTTCTTTTCCCTTCTTAGCTTTCCCCTACCTCTCCCACTTCCCCTGAACCTTTAGACATTTTTCCTATTTCACGCCATTTGCAATAGGTAAAACTTGGAAACAGCCCAATTTCCCATCAACTGGAGACTGGATAAAGAAGATACATTTTTTTAAAAAATAAAATGGAGTACTACTCAGCCATAAAGAATGAGAAACTAGAGACATTTATTGCTAAGTGGTTGCACATTGAGGCTATACTCTTATGTGAAATTAATAAGACACACATGTGTAAATAGTGAATAGTTTCTCTGGTGTAATAAACTAAAAGTGTAAATAAGAATCAAAATGTAAAATTGATATTGTATAATAGCAATAATTTAGTTTTAATTAGCATTTGGAAAGCATCTAAATTTCCAACTAAAGGATAGATGCTATATTAGCTAAAGTAAGTGTCTATAATCTTTCCTTCTCAGAATGTCCCTTAACAGTCTGAAAACAAGCTCTCATATTCTTCAAACCACATATTCTTCAAACCACTTAGACCTTTTATACAAAAAAAAAAAAATGCACACAAGTTATGTTTGGGGCGAGGCCTGACATCTGCTTCTACCATCTTCTTGGATCTGGACTCTTAGGGACCAGCTACTCCCCGCACTGGAAAATGGAGTCTTTCAAGCACCTCCGATATGAGGAGCACATTGGTGGAGTGATCTCACCTTCGGTCCAGGTAAACCATCAGAACCTGGAAAACCACGATTGCCAGGAGCACCCTGGGAAAAACCAAATGTAATTCTTAACTGTTGTCAAAAGTTTTGCAACATAGTAAGAAATTTTTATTAGTAGTATTGTAAAGTTTTAGGAGCTGTGCTCAAGCCAACATAGCAATAGCTAAGTACAACAAAAGAATCTGACTAGTCAGAATAAATTTTGAATTTAAACGATATTTAAATTTAAATTTTCAATTTAATTTCAAATTTAATTTAAATTTAATGTAGATACTATGCAGAGAATTCCTCAACTCAAAAAATATTCTAATAATTCATTACAAAATGAGACAGAGAAGAACCAATACATTCACATGACAGACAAATCATCATCTATAGAAATCAAAATGTCAACAATAATATGCATTAGTACTGTCTTATATTAGAAGCCCCCGTCGTCCTACAAAGCTCTATGTAAATCTGAGATTATTGTCCATTCTGATCTGCCTCATTATATTCCAATCACATAAATCTTTTCTCATCTTTAAACTTAGCAAGTCCTTTGTGATCCTCCTGGCTTAGCAGTTGCTTTCTCATCTGCTAAAAATGTTCTTTCTCCCTCAGTGGGTGTCAGCTAAACATTATCTTCTAAGAGGACTCTACTTCCTGGTCAGTTAATCTAATACTGCAGCATTCCATGTACCCACCATGTCTTCCTGTTGTTTAATACATGCACGTGGCACTTATTTCTTACAATGTGCGAATGAGTTTTCATTCACCTGTTAACTCACTAATTATTTATCTCTCCATTGAGGTGAACTGTCGTTTACTAGCCCACACATGAGCATTGGAACCACAGCTTCTTGTTTTCTGACGTAACCCAAGCACAGAAAGCTCCAAAGGGCGTGGAGCAGTAATTCAATTAATTTGTTGCACAAATGAATAAAGAATGATTAGATAGTTGGCCCTTTTCATAGAGAGACAACTCTATTCAATTATATAAGGTACCTGCAGCGTATCTCTTGACTGCTTTAGCTTTCCCGATTATCCTGAAATATAGTCAGTCATACAATTCCTCTACAGCTGTAGGAATGAATTTTATTGCTCAAATTTACCCTTTCTCCCATTGGGCCTGGAGGACCAACTGTTCCTGGGTCACCTCGAGGACCTCTTTTGCCCTCTTCACCAGGTGGGCCAACTGGACCCTGCACACCATGCGGCCCCTTTTAAAACAGAAAGACAGGTGCCAAGAAGAGTCATTTAAATGACAGTTGGGACACTCGTTCAGTGAAGTTAAGTCACAAATTTTAACGATAAATAATTAACTATGACAATTCCCAGTTATTTGAAGGGCTCAAGCTCTTGAGTTGTACACTTCTAGACAATGTTTATGCTCTTCTTCTCATTGAAAACAATGAAGACTTACTGGTTCCCCCTTGGGGCCAGCTTCTCCTTTAAAACCTGGAACTCCTGGATCACCCTAAAATAAAATATTGACAGTTATAAGAACCAGGCATTTCACCAGTCCAACCTGCTCTAGGAAGTTACAGTGACTACACCTTAAGTTCTCCAGCTGCTAAGTCTATAACGTATTAGTGGTATAATATAATCAATTCTTAATTTTGCAAATATTGTCAACTGTATGTAAATCTTCATAAAATTGGTATAACTTAGTCATGTATTTTACATTGGCCTTCAAGAAATTTATTTTTTAATATGGCTTTTATCACGTTATTGTGATTATGATTATCCAGTTATTCAAATATGATCATTAAAATTAGAACCACAAAGAGCATTTCTTTAGATAACATTACTACTAGTTTGTTTTATTACATTCATTATTTTGACTCACAATAAAAATAATCTTATATTTATATTCTATTTCTTGAGATTTTGGAAACTTCAAAAACAGTACTTTCGGAGTATTCTACTGTTTTGCAAATATGTGTCTTGGAATAGTAATTGCGGATCATGTTGCAGAAACTAAATTGCCAAAAACAGAACATGGTAAAAATAACTTGTGACAAATCAACAACATTCGTATAAAAAATTCTCTCCTAATAATTTCTATAAAACATGGAGACTCATTCAAAGCAAATAATATGTTGGAATAATTCATCAGGAATAGCTCTCAAGAAATAGCTGCTGAGCCCAATTTTAGCCAAATTATCATTATAAATACCTATTAAACCTCCATGTTTCCTCTCATTGGCTTACAAAATATTTCCATTCCATTGATTATTCAGCTATTTATAACATTCTATGAGGTGTACTGCGTAATTATGATTTCATGATAAGATTTTTTTAACACACCATAATTTGCATGCTGCAATTATGCTCAACCAAGAATCTAAACATCCACATCATACATTGACATCTGGCTTTCTCTCTACAACCATTCCAGCCTTCATTTCCCTCATTTGGATGTCACTTGCCCTATGTTTCATTGCATCCCATTACTTATTTCTCAAGGCACTCTTGGTTAGATTAGAGTAAGGTACAACAGTTGCTTTCAGTGATGATATTACCGGTTGTCCTCGAATTCCCTGAGGTCCAGTGCTACCCTGAGGGCCGGGAGATCCCGGGGGTCCTAACAAGCCAGGAGGACCAGAAGTACCCGCAGAGCCCTGTCAGATAGCAAGAGCAACAAGATGAGCAGGAAGTAGCCTGGGGCCAATACCCGAAGGGTTGTTTCATCTGAACTTTGTGCAGATAAATGCAGTGACTTACTGTGGGGCCTTTGGCACCAGGAGTACCATCAGTTCCCATAGCACCCTAAAAGACAAAACACAAAGAGGTTTTGAAACATGAAGCCATATCTGCGCACCCCTGGAATGGTACTCAGATGTCCGGTCAACTTCCAAGAGGAGGCAGAGAATCTGAGCAATTGTTCCCCCAAAATATTTTCTTCTAATTATCTTTTCCGTAGAATAGGTAAAATGTGCAGAACCAACATGTTTTCCTCATGGGTTTTAAGCAAGCACTGATTCAGAACTGAAACACAGGATCTTCAGTTGCCTTGTTCTGCTGTTATAATAAGTGCCCCTCTTTCAGGGCTGGAAACTTACAGGAAGCCCTTGAGAGCCAGCTGGACCTGGCGGCCCAGTTTCACCTCGCTGTCCCTGAGGACCTTCTGGACCTCGAGCCCCCGTAGGACCTGCTTCTCCCTGAAAGGGTGCAAAAGGAAAGGTTAATTTAAGAAAAATATGAGAAAGCTATGGTATGACATTGATGGCATATTTGGAGATTTTCACTTTCAGCCTAAATATTTAAAGGAGCCAAAAGAGGCTTATCAGAGAGTAGAAAGTGCCTCAGTGAGATTACGGCATGGACTCATTTCTTCTGTGACCATGCTGCAGCCTCTTCAGGAATCGTCTCTAAGACCCAACTTCTAGTTACAGAAGTCCTAATCACCCATCCGGGTCAGGTTAAGTCTCTTCTCTGGACTTCTACAGAATCTGAATTCTTTTACCACATTTATCAGATCATTTTAACATATTTCACAGTTCACATTTAACAAAGTCATAGCCATAATCAAAGCTGGGCCTATCAAGGTAAATCTTGATATCCCAGGTCTTGATATCCTAAATCAAGACCATGTTTGTGTAAATATCAGCAACACATTCAGACTCTTTAAACAAAACAATCAAGTGGCGGATAAATGATCAAATCCCCTGTGCTAACATGACTTATTTCTGCTCAAAAAAACCTGGGCATTTTAGGGCCACATTATTAAAACTGATTTGATTATCGGGCAACTTGTGGCAAAGTAAAAGCACAACCTAACTCATTTAAAAAACAAAAACAAAATGCTTCTTTGAGAAGAATTACACGATATTTGAGAAAACAAAATGTAAAAAGCAGCACTAAGAGTAGAGCAGAGTTGCCAAGCGAACCTGATTACCCCCTGTATTTCCATCCAAGATAGTGGTCCAGATAGCAAATAAAATTCAGGAAGCTTAGTTAAGCTTCAATTCAGATAGACAAATAACTTTTAGCCTAAGTTTTTCCCATGAAATATTTGGGACGTATCTAACTGAAGATATATCCCTTGTTCATGTGACACTCATACGCAGTTCCTCTATTTTATCCCATGTACTCTGTACCTAGGTATTTCTAATCCTAGAGAGACTGGAAAATTAAAATTATAAGCCTTTAGGGGCGAATCAATATCCATAAAATATACTAGATCCTACTATCCTTCGTGGACATGCAAAAAATTGGGTGTGAAAGTTTATTCATCGAGAAAGCCAGGGATCATGTCCAAACTTTACAGAAATAGCAGAATTTTAGCCAAAAAGAATAAAAAGGCCCAGGAATTTCATGGTAGGGGATAGAAAGGCAAAGACAGAGAAAGAAATTTTGAAAGAAACAGCTTTGCTAGTTATTTGAGTTTTATTAAGGAACCAACAACCAGTCTTATAAACATGCAGGAAGAGGGGATGTACTGTAAGTGACTGCTCATACAAAGCTGTGATTGCTGGTGAACTCAAGCTTGTTTCTGCAGAAATCCCTTTCTGCTCTTCACGTAAGTAGGCTTTGTGAGTTTTCTTTCCCTATTACTGTAGCAAGAACGCAATTTGGAGGTGGGGGGTCTTAGAAGAAGAGTACTGGATTGTACATGTTTCTGTAGGATAAATAGGGAGGTCACAGTGTAATCAGAGGTGTTGAGATTTGGACCTTAGGGCTGGAGAAGCAGCTCATTGATAGAGTTCATGCTCAGTATGCAGGAGTTCTTGGGATCAAACTCCAACAACACACATGTGTGCATACACACATGTATACAAACATGGACTTTAGATCAGAGAGGAACAAAATAATACTCAGAGAAAGCAAGAACTAGTTAGCAAATGACTGAAGACATCATCCTTTAGCAGCCCCGCCCATGTGGCACAGAGTTTAAAGACACTGTGAGAGAGGGTGCAGAGAAGGATTTGACATCACGATCCCATGTTTCCAAGGGTACATAAAATGTCAGGGATTCTTTTCCTGGATTCAAATCCAACTTGAGCAGCAGTAGTAAGGAGTGTGAAGCTACACTGAGAATGTTCTCTGTATCAGGATTTGCCAGGATGATTCCACTTAATCCTAGATAAAGTTCCATGGAAAAAAAACAAGGTTTAGAGGGGCCAGGTAACGGCCCTGGGCCACAGTCATTTCTTTAAGGCTGAATCTTGTTAACAAATCCCTTCTGCAAATAAAGAATGTTAAGGCCAAGGGGAAACTGAGATGAGGGCGAATCAAATGTTATATGGCTTACAATTTGAAAGCAGGGCTCCGAATTCATTTTCTGACATAGCTAATATAACCTTAATAGCTTCCTACTGTAACCTTTGAATTTCTCCCAAAGTACTAAGGGAAAAAGCAAATAGTGACTCGCTAAAACTGTAGGTCATCCCAGCAGATTACCTTACTCAGTCCATTCCCTCGTGGAGAGCCGGATATTCTCCCTGCCCACTCTGGGATGACTACAGGTGGGGTGGCTGAGGGCTGCCCGGCACTGGGTGACAGCACAGGCTATTTTTACAAAGTCTGATTTATTTTAACCTACTAATATTTAGACAATTCTGCTGCTTATGATGACATGGCACTCCACTCAAGAACAGAAGCCCAGGTCATTTTTGATTGCCTGGCACTGGAGTGCTATGCAAGAGATTCTATGATAGTATAATTGAGTGGTTATAAGTCACTCTCCTTTACTTACATATTATATGGTTAAATTCATTTTCTATGTTTATTTCCTTATCATAATGGTCAATGAACACAGTGCCCTCGGCTCTTTTTTTCATTAAGACTTTCCACACTCAACTTCTGAAAGATCACTCTTCATTTTGGGATTCATAGAATCAAGCAGACTTAGATAACATTGATTACTTACTTTCATTCCAGGATTTCCTGGAAAACCAGGAGAACCAGCTATCCCAAGAGGACCCTATAAAAAGAAACCAGAACACTAGTTAGTCATGTATTTAATTAACACTTAATTAGGTCAGTTTTTCATTTTCTAATAAAAATCAATCTGTATCCATAATCTAGGAAAATCTTGCTTTGTACTTCAAAATCACAAAGATAATAATATAGTTTTATTGCAAGTGTCTTGCAATAGTGCTAAAAAACATAACCCATGGTATTAAACATGGTACGTAGATCCATTAATTTTTCAAAATTTTTTCTTGAGAGGTATACCTTATTTGCATCAACAAACTAACAAACATAGCTTGCAGAAAGTTATAGTTTGTGCCAAAAGGTAATATTTTTCTATAAAAATTATGCTGAAGAATCATCTGAATATTTTAGAATGTTTTTTCAGGGTATAGTAAGTCTGTAACTACCCCACATTTGGAAAATCATACATAGAGTTTAAGCTATTACTTTAAAAGTTGGATTCAAAGGAAATCAATTTAAAAAGAAATGTACTCTAAGTTTTCTAAAGTATCTTGGTTCTTCTTTGAGGACTATATTTTAATTCTATGCATTAACAAATTAAATGAATAAAAGCCCTTTCACAGCATACATTTTATAATTAAGACTTTTTCACATTGTTTTATTATTGCAAAACGTTTATACAGATAAGTGCTTTTTTGGTAGATTCATGCACCCATATAAGGTAATTTAATCATTTTCATCACCCCAGGTCCCACCCTCTCCCCACTTTCCCATTTTGGGAGTGTGTACAACACTCACCCCCACTTCGTCAATGTGTACAATATATTTTGATAATGTTCAACCCCCATTACCTTCCTGAGTTTTTGTCCTAAATTTTGTTTCCTTTTTATGAATAAAGGAGAAAAAAGTACTACGGCAGTAATTTCAATTACTATAATTCTATTCTATTTGTCATCTGGAATAAACTAAAAACTTTCATTTTTTTCCTTTTTCTTTCAGTATTGCTCCACACTGATCAGGAACACCCCCTCTCTCTGTCCCTCCCTCCTTCTCCCTCTCTGTCTGGTTCTCTCTCCGCTTTCTTTCTATAGTGCATATTACCCTTTGGAGTTTGGCTCCACTTTGGGATTTCAACAAGGTAAACCTGAGCCATGGAAGATTTTACTTAGGGTGGCTACTCCATTAGTGTGCACAGCTCATCAGTAACCAGGCTTTTCTTTCTCACTGAGTTTATTGGTACTTTCTAGGTATACAGCACAGTTACATTTGTCACTGGGATCTTGTACCTTTACGTCGCAGATCTTGGTTATTTTTTCCCCTTATCCCTGCCTTCCCTCCACCCACTCCACCCTCTCCTATTTACAAAGACTTTGTTTCCATTTTTTCCTTTTCTCATATTCTTTCTCTTCCCTTGTTTCTTTTCCCCTGTCCTTCCCACTTTCCCTACACCTTTAGCTCTTTTCTTCCTATTTCACATTATCTTTTATACAATTTGGATCTTATTTACACTTTTAGTTTTTCACAACAGAGAAACTATTCGGTATTTACACATGTGTGTCTTACTTATTTCACTTAAGAGTATGGCCTCAATATGCATCAATTTTCTTATGAATGACTCTAGTTTCTTATTCTTTATCGCTGAGTAGTATTCCATTTCATAGAAAAATCACATCTTCTTTATCCAGTCTCCAACTGATGGGCAATTGGGCTGTTTCCAAGTTTTAGCTATTACAAACTATGCTGCTATAAACATGGGTGAGTAACCAGTCTTAATCAGAAGAAATGGAATGGCTTCTTTCAGACGTCATTATATCTTCCTTTTGAAATCCAGGACACCACAGTTAATCATGTAATTTGACGTGGAAAACACACGGATCAATTTCTCTACAGTTCAGAAAAGAATTTCATATTTTACGCTATTTAAAACATTCATTTAGTTTTGTTTTGGTGATAGAGTTATAATTTAAATACCCTTCACAGAACAGAAACAGTGCCTTTGATCCATTAGTTACTACTACAGTGTGCCTGGTCGCCCATGACCCTGTGGCCTCTGGCTACTTCAGTAGTAATCGCTCTTGCACACAGGGAGAAGACGTGAGTGAGGTACTACGAAACTGTCAAATTGCATGCTTTCCTCTTTGTCCATAACTTACTACTAATAACTAAATAATAACTAATAACTAAACTTCAAGTGTGAGTTAAAGATTCATAATTTCAGAGAGTGCCTATGAAATAGCCTGAGCTGTCTGCAGCAAAACACAATAAAGTCGTCGGTACTCGATGTAAAAAGCACAGTACAGGAAATGTCAGCACTCTCTGAGATCATGTCATCTCTCATTCCACGTGACACTTTTACTCCCACAGCTTTATTTAGTGCCTGTACTTCAAAATATTCCAAATCTACACTTGTGGTTCAAATCTATACCATGCTTTCCATACTTTTGCATAACCAACTACAAAACTGTTTTCTTTCCATTCTACACCCAAATTCACAAAATGATCCTCTTTTTCTATTTGAAGTTTCACATAAATTATATCATTCACCAAGCTCCTTAAACCAAAGAAAACTATTCAGCTATGTCCATGAGACATCTTAGTTCGGTGATATGCAGTCTGCCTTCAGCAGGCTGTAATAACTTCAGTTAACCTCCGAACAGTTTCTCTCTGGGATTATGCATATGTTTTTCCTATTTAGACTTAACGATCTTGATCTTCCCCTCTGTAGCACCAGTAGGATCTGCTTGGTTAAAAACCCCTGAATTGTCTCTCAAGACCCTCTGGAAAACAGCTTAGCACAGTGAAATAGTGCACATCCTTTGTGCTCTGGCTCCAGCCTGCCAATCCAACTCTATCCTCTGAGCATTTCTCTGAGCTCATCATAATTCTGAACGATCCTTTCTAGGACCTGAACTACATGCAGGGCCATTTTATGGATTCATTTCACCAGGAGTGGCTTGAAAGTCACTGCTGTTTAGGTTTTCCTTTATATCTTTCTTCACTTTAGGGTTAGGCATCTCCTCTTCTGCACTCCTCTACTTCCAACTGCTTTCTATTTTACAGCAGTTAGCAATAGTTTTATAAAATGATACCAATTAATATATCCAGTTTTCAAGCACTAGAACTAGATATTTATTATCTTTTTATCTAAAGTATCTAGAGCCTAAGAGGTGCTCTGTAAATGCTAATAAATGCATAAGTGAAAGAATACACAAATGGATGGATTAATATAAAAGTAGCGCAACTCACCATTGGGCCAGGTTTTCCAGGCATTCCATGTGGACCTCGCTGTCCCTAATCAGGAGGAAAAAAGACATGGAAAGATTACATTTTCTACAGCATATTTCCCAATTTATTTGCTTTATAAACAATTTCCAAGTTAAAAAATGAGAATAAATATTAAGGTTAACTGATTAAAACTGTCACTAGGTTAACAGCAATAAAAATATATGTGTACACAAAAAGCTAGTTATAAATACATCCATCCTTACAACAACAGAAAATAGAAATTGAGGTTGAGAAATGAAGCTGATTAAATTTGCTCTTTTTGCTTTAAAATATCATCTTCCATCACACGAGCTCAAAGACAACAAGACTGTGAGCATCGTAACCTTCTTCACAGCCAGACTAACTCAGGGGAGGAGTACTTTCCTTGCAAAAGCACACGAGAAAAAAAAAATCAACCAATAAAACCATGCACACAACACAATAAAACCATGTGGTGAACTCTGTGGCTTTTACCACATCCACTTCAGGACCAAGGTATTCACTATCAGCTGGAAGGATCCTCTGCTGAGGGCTCACAGTTGAGTCTGTACCCAAGAACTGTGCCCAGCTGAAGAGACCAAACTCTGCCAAATGTCTTCCCTTGCTTTGGCAAGTGTGGGAGCACAAACGATTCATTTCCATTCAGCACAAGTCTGAAGAGCTCCCTGATTTTCCCTGGGCATTAATGAAGTCTATCTAACTGCAGCCCATTTCAGTTTCTCCCTTGCACAATTGTTGCTTCTTTTGTTCCTTCTTTCATATGCATCCTGTCTAAGCACACTGCCAAGTGACTTCTCTGTATTCAAGTCCTTTTTCTAGGAAAGAAACCCGACCTAAGGCCTTAAGGCCACTGGTGCCATGATTTGTGCAAGAAAGCACACTCTACATGGGAACTTTTAAGCTGAATCCCCACTGGCCTGCCGGTAACAGATGCAGTAGGACTCACCCCTGGCAAGCTGTGATAGTAGAATGGTAAAGACCGTCTCTGAGATAGGGCACCAGTGTAAGGGAAAGGGTTAGGGGTGCCACGGCTCAGGCATTCGAAAAGCTTTAGGAGAAACATCTATACATTTCATGGCATTTCATGGGTCTTAACTGAGTGTATCCATTGTCAAAGACACTGAAATGTGCTGGTGATGGAACCTAGGTAAAGAAGAGGGATCTCCTACAAATTCTCTTCCCAGCTTTTGGAATGTTAAGCTATGCTGGCTAACATTTCAAATTTGAAGTTTAAAGTAAAATAAGAAAATTATTCAAGAAGAAAAATAAAAGACAGTAGGTGACCTATTGTTACTCTCATTTAGAAGCAGCATTTAAAAAAAAAAACTCAGAAAGACTTGAAATACACAGCTCAGTGGTATAAATGAAAGAGGATGTACTTACAGGAACACCCTGTGGCCCAAGTCTCCCTCTTTCTCCTGGCATTCCTCTTGGACCCTGTAAATAAGAGAAGAAATATCTCCTGAAACATCTCACTAGAATTCTAGGCTGATTTGACTACGCTAATCCAGCTGATTGAGAGACTCAATATAATCATTCATCAAATAGCAATATTGCCAGGAACAGTTTTAGATGCAAAAGACTCTCTACCAATGAAGACACCTACCCTACACTCTCACATAAACAGATTTCACTTAACCAAAATTTAATGGGTTGAATGTATATTAATATTTGATCAATGAGTATAGCAAAAGAATAAGGACATTTGACAATTTAGAATAGTGAAATACAAGAAGAATTATTTTCCACTTGAAGGAAAAATGGATTTGCTTGTCCAGAACCTGCTAATCAAGATTATTCCACTAGCTAATATTTTGTCATTTAATGATTCTCTTAGTGTAAACTAAAACAGAGAGATAAGAAAATACATACCAGTGGTCCCATGGCACCCATTGGACCAGTAGGGCCAGCTTCACCCTAAATCAAAAGGGAGATTGCATTGCAATATTAGAAACCTAAATTCATAGTAACATCTCATGGTTTTGTGTGGGGATAATTTTAAAGTCATGCTTTCAAAGAAGCTATTTGAAAAATGTGCTTTCAATGAAGGATTTCAGAGTTTTATTTTACTGCCTGTTCTTGAAATTAAATGAAAATTTGATTCATATGGAAATCAGTCTAAAAGAAAATTAGGGATATAAACAAGGTCAATGAAAACTCTCATACCCAACTAAAGAGTAATTGCATGTCTATGTCTGATATGTCTAAAGTAAAATTTTATAAAGTTAAAATTGACTGCATATTCTCTTAAGGTCTCCTTAGAAAATTTAGAAATAACATTTTGAAATGAAATGCTTTTCCACCTATGCATTTTATGATGCTCCCCACTTAAAACTCTTCTACATTTCCTTGATTTTTCTCTGCCTGTTATAAATATTTCAGAGAAGAAATAATGTCTAGATGGCACTAGAGTTAAAAGCACAGTGAATAGCATGACAAATGCTCTTCACCTATTAATTTACTTGTACATCTCTTGCCTCTAGAATTACCTGAAAAATTTGTAGGCACTTGAAGCAGCACTGAAATGCTATCATGAGGTTAATTTAGGTATTGTACACTTACCTTGGCACCAGGTGATCCAATTTCACCTTTTGGCCCTTCAAGTCCTTTGTGTCCCTGAGAAGGAAAATACGAATTTGCATGTGCATCCTGGTTTTGTTTCAGCTTTCAAAATTCATAAAGGAAGAATCAAAACCAAGCTCACAGAAAGTGCGCTACAAAAACGTGACATAACCTCAACGTTGTTGGTCAAAGTTGTCCCAGATTCTTAATAGTTTTTGAAAGTCTATTCAAAGAAAATTGGTTTTCTCATTTACAAAATATTCTCAACTTGCAGTGTTGGCATCAAACAACTGTGACTTCATGAAAATTTAATTACAGCAGTTAAGTGAAATTGTACCAGTTTTAAAGAAAACACACTGTTATAGAGTTCTATCGTTATAAAATATGAGTTATATCCCAGAATGATATTCAAAATCTAAATGGTTCCCTGTATTCAGAGGTGCTGCATTTATGGATTCAACCAATAAAGTATTGAGAATATTTGAAGAAAAGACAAGTTGTATTGCTGGTGACTTGTACTCTATACTTACCCTGTGATTGTTGCCTCTGTACTGAACATGTACAGACCCCTCTCCTAACAATTCTCTGTGCAATGCAGACTATTTTCATAACATTTATATTCTATTAGGTATTATAAGTAGTCTAGAGGTAATGTGAAATATATGGGAGGATGTGCCTATGTTATATGCAAATCACTCTATACACGGGAATTACCTACTTATGGATTTTTGTGTCCTTGGGAAGGTCCTGAACCAATATCCTTAGCAGACATGGAAGAATAACTACATTTAATAATTTGGACAGCAGCAAACATTCTAGTCAGCTCAACTACTTGAAACAGAGACTAGTAAGATAAATACTAAGTGAATACCAGGCTCAATTTCAGATAAAGAAACAAAGGAGAAAAAGAGAGAGAAAGAAGAAAAAGGAGAGCGAGAATAATCAATATATTATAATATGGAAGAGACACATTATTTTCAGTTATAAAAGAAGCATTCTACTACCCTCTAAGACTGGGCTAAGTCCCTCCTGTGGCTTTGTGTCCTCTCTACTTGAATTATATCACTTGAATTATATCTGATTTTCTTAATTTACTTCCTATTTGTACCCTTTATTCGCTGAAGCTGCTGCCCAGTGACTGTTTCCATTCATCCTTCTATTCTCTTTTGTAGCCTAGCATCTGATATATAATCAGAGTTCAAAATATATTTCTTTATAATACCAAATGAAATACACAAGAAATTTAACAGAACATTGTGATTTCAGCAATCAACAATGAGTATTATTGAAACCACAGCCATTTAGAACAATTCTCAAAGAGAATTGTAAAGATGTCCAAAGTAATGTTCACCAGACCCTACTCAGTAAACTGTGGTATCAGAGAGGCCTGCAAGGATTGAACTTACCCTGTGACCCTTCAGGCCTGGAACACCAGGAGCCCCAGGAAAACCTCGAGCTCCCTAGGGAAAACATAGATAAGGCACTTTGGAATCATGAACACGAGTTTTCCTTTTCTCGAAAAAAATATCCAATACATGGTTTTCACCAACATAGCAGGGTATATATTTACATATCAATACATATCTGGTGATCAAAAAGTAACCAAGCAAACCCAGTTAGAAATGGAAACACGACTTGCACGAAGGTGTGCACTAATCCAGGTACTGATTTGATGATGTTCTTAAATTTTCAAATGCTCTCTCTCTGTCATTACTAGTAGCGAGGAAAAATAGGTGTGAATCAACCTACTCAGTGGCATTATACAGGGGAAAAATTAAAGAGAGAAATGTAAGGGGAAAATCACTTTTCCCACTTTGTGTTGCATCTCATTTCTGGTACAAGAGTAAATTCATTTATAGCAAGCCAATGTTTGTCATTTTCTCTGAATTTCTAAGCACTGGCAGCAGGATATAATGGGAAGGATATTATACAGTGATCCAAAATTTTTATGAAGAATTCAGGACAATCTTTGTGGATTTATAATTTCTTAAAAATAAATGCAGTGAAATATCCACAGAAAACATGAGAATGGCTTTATTTCTTGACTGAATAATTTCTAGATTTCTACCAATTCTATGTATCTTCTACTGAAGCACATTAAATTAAAAAAAAACTATAAGACAACAAAAATCACATTAAATGGCACAACTATTTTGAAACAACACTTGAAACTATTTTGTATATTCTCTAAAATAAATAATGGTGCGGACCTAATTATCTTCTTATTCCCATTGCCTACATTAATTTGGTTTTGCATTGAATTTCCATTACTTTTCTACCAGTCAATTTGGCTCCTTGAAAGCTAAGATTGATGCTGTTGTTATTATCAATTTTTAATTATTACCATTAACCTTCATATCCTCACCACTTAGCTTTTTGCCTGAGGCATTCAATGAATGATCACCAGATAAACAACTGAATGAAAAAATGGTTTCGTATTTCAAGATCTCATAGTGATTTTAGTCTTCCCCGAGGATTCTCTTCTCTGGCCCTAGCCATCTTACAGTCTTACCATAAAACCCCCGTGCTCTGAACATCAAGGCCTCATTCACTCTTTATTAAGTGAATGAATAAGCAACACAATTAATGAAATTTGTGTGCTAAAATCAAGGCAATAATTTCTCTGTGACTTCTTGCAGGGAAAATGTGTCTTTAGTGTTTTGAGGGTCTCACAGCAGAGGTACGCTGACTCCGCTCTCTGAACAAGCGAGTTCCCACTAATTCTCCTGTTTACATAACCCCTGCTTAGGAATTCTTTCCTGGCAAGAAGTCTGAGTTTTGCAGCTGGAGTCCTCCCTTTTCCTGAGATCTGTCATCGGGGAGGGCGATTCAGTGCACAGCCATCTAAGCCTATAGTGGAATCACTGAGCTATGTTATTTCAAATAATTAAATTCAGTTTTTTGTGGCCTGGGAAGGAAATTTTCCCGTGATTACATATCCCCAGTATAACAAGAAAATGAGCCAGATGTCCTCATGCTCATAAAGAATCCTCGTTCCGCTGACCCAGGACTGTGATCACTGCATGCTCATGAGCGTTTGCACGGAGCTCGCGGAGCGCATCTGTGATGAGCGGGCAGGGCACCTTCCCTGCCCCTGAGGGCCGGCAGAGACAGCTGTGCTGGTGACTAAACCTCAGCCTTCGGCCGCATCGCCTTCCCAGACTGGTGGATGGCGGACCGGAGGAGAGGGAGCAAGGGAAGGAAGGCTGGTTTCACAACTGAAACGAAATAATCCTTAGGGCCTTGCAAATTCCTGTTAAAGGTCAGCATTCATTTGTTTAAAAAAAAAAAATTCCCAGGATGGAACCTCATCAGCCTACATTCAGAAAGTAGAGAGCAACACAGTACTGTGCGCGTACTGAGTGGTGGAAACATTAGGAAGTGACAGCCGATACTGTAAGTAGGCCGCTGGATCAGTTCAAGGGCTGTTGGGAGGGAGAAACCGTAAGAGCCGAATGTCAGGGGACAGCTTTGGCTTGCTCAGCATGCTCTAGTTGTCCCCATTTTCGTGTAGTACTCCTTCAGGAGGACCGAGCAAAGCAATGTGAGGTCCAGGTGTTCAAGTGGCCCAGGTCCTGAGTTCTGGTGGAGAAAGTGGCCACAGACCTGTCCCTTTAGTGAGCCAAGAGGGGGAAACAGCTGTGTGAGGAGGCCTAGCAATCATCACATCTTGTCATAGGACTTTAGGAACCAGTATACTCATCAAGAATCTCAGCCAAAATTAGGGTTCGGGGAGAGCCAAAGAGGCATCTTGTCCAGAATTCATTGTCCCTAGATGATAAATGAGCTTACAACCTCTTTCAGGCTGTTGTTTTAGACACATGGGATAATACAAAGTAAAATGACAGTTAGGATTAAAGTGTTGGGATTGTCAAAAGGCCAGGCAGATGATTTCTGAAATTTTTTTCTTATTTTCTGAAAAATTGATAGTTTGGAGAGTGTCCATAACACTCTAGTCCGAGTTAGGTGCTCTAGTGGGTTAGGGTTATTCATACGGTGCCAGTGCAAAGCAGTGAGTGAGTTGCAATTAGCTGGAATTCTGGTTAAAAGTCTTATGGTATTTTATGTCTTCCCAAAGGAAATATCACTTAGTGGGCTGCATTTAGTTAGTGTCTAGCACATGTTTATGCAGTGAAATGCAAGTTATTTTAATGTTCTTTATTTCTTGAAGTTTGTTTTTATGTCATTACTTTGAGAAGTGTAGACTTACGGGTGATCCTGAAAATCCCACTTCACCGGAGTTTCCGTTCCTACCGGCTTCACCCTTTGTGAGGAAAAGAAAAACAAGGGGAAGGCATAAGGGGATTGAAACATTCTTCTGCCAGATTAGATCACAAATAAAGTCTTTAGAAGTTCATGTAGGATACTCTAAACTATGTAAAAAAAGAAAACAAAGAAACAAAACTCCATGCTCTGACTGTAATTCCTTCTCTAATCAGTATGTGAAACTTTCGTTAGTTTATCCAGGAGAATAACTGGCTGTAAACTTTCCTGGTCTGATTTAGATGGCCATTTTCAGAACATTAAATTTTACATATATAAAGATACAGATATTGTAAACATGGCTTCTTCAAATACTATTAACCGTTTCTCTTTTTGTGAAGAAACAAAACCCTCCAGAGTTACTTTCTCTACATTAAAATTCAGTGTCATCTTCTTAAATAAATATCTTAGCTCACAAGTAGAAAGGCTGTCTTTACTTCACTTAGTATTGCACAGAAACAAGTGTTCTACACTAATTTGAACTCAACTTTGTCAAAGCTAAGAATCCAGAAAATCAAATACATTATTCACACTCTTCTTTAATGACTTATTACTGTTCTGTAGTTGTATTTGAACTTTAGAGATACCTACTGGCATATAGTATATGTATGACATATACTTTAGTAGCGGCTTATACGACACAATTCTAAAACCTCACTTAATTAAGTTCTCATAATGATGTATTACTCTATATGAAGAGCTATGTATTATTTTTCTTTCAAATCATTTCAGTGGCTCTACAAGCAAGGGTTATGGGATATGACATCCTATACTCTCCAGAAGGGTGATTGTTCAGACTGTGACAACAATTCAAATAGCTCTTTAAGAAATCTTAATCCTAAGAGAAGGCATAAGAGAAACAGTTTCTAACATAATACTATCAAAATTAAGGTCCTTTTTAGATATTTGTAAAGTTTTATTATAGATTTCATTGTGAATTGAATGTGATGAAAGGTAACTGGGTGGAGAAAATTAAATTGGAATTCATACATTCCGGTTAACGCGTCCTCTTAGTCTCTGCAATACTTCAAAGCAAAATGCAAAAAGGAAACTTACATCTTCACCTGGCTTCCCAGGGGGGCCCTCGGGTCCACGTGAACCAGTTGGACCCTAATAGTAAGACAAAATGGCAGGAAAATTAATATTTACCTCCTACTGCCAACAGTGTAGTCCAAATTGCCGATTAGACAATGAAAAAAATACCAAAGACAAAGGTTTTATGAATGTTTTGAATTTTCAGTTGTATCTCTTGAATCACGTGCTCAGTAGGGTAAAGAAGTTCAATTGTACCAATGCACAGACTTAAGCACTGCCTCCTGCCTCTGTTCAAAGCCTTTGAATTTCAATACTTTGGAACGCAGAGCCTCAGTGCAGTCCACGGGACAGGGCTACCAAACTGAGTGGTTTCTTGCTCTGTCGCACATCTTCATGGGTGTGAACCCAGTGTAACTGGCTCTACCTGCTTACTTGACATTTACCATTGGTCCAGGTTCACCAGGTTCACCAGGAGGTCCTGCTGGTCCCGTGCCACCCTACAATGGAACAGAAATGATATAAGCAACGCAAAGGAAGACAGAATATCAAATCCTATGCTCTCTGCAAGACAAGTGGGGTGGTTCGGATTGCTGGCTCTGCCATCTTCCAGACATGTGTGTTTGGGCAGATTAAGCAATTTCCTAATCTGAGAAGTGCATGCTCAGTCAGTGGTAGCCATCATCATCACCATCATCATCATCAGAAGCAGCAGCAGCAGCATGAACTGTATCACCACCAACAGCTACTTTTCTGTTCATCACACGTGGTTATAACCCTATAATAACCTTGACTGACCTAAAGATTCTTTGCATTCCTTTGAAAAATTACTTCCATTCTTTTTTGAGAAATTGCTTCCTTATGCCTGCTAAATCACTTTGCCAATGAACAAGATAGCTGTCCATCACAATGAGACAGAGGTATTATCTTCTTTTTAAAGGTGCCACAGTGCGTTCTCCTTGACTTTCATCTGTCACAATACCATACAGTAATGTCCTTTTCCCATCTCAGGTCAGAGCCTCATACTCCATTATGAAATTTTTCATCATAACATGAGATAACCATCTATTATTTCGGAGGCAAAGGCACAGAAGCCCTAGAATTGGAGGTCAATCACCTAAAGAAATCAGATGATAAAAATATAGCACCACAAAGAAACTTTGAAAATATACTGAATATATTTCTAAGTGGGTGAAAATTATTTTACAGCCCATTCAAAGTGAGCATTACAGTTATGTAATTTAAAAGCCAGCCCAAAACAATCGCGTCCCACAGACCCTGGTGCACAATTTTTTCTTTTGCTATAGCATATAATTTAATTATAAACAGACTTACTTGCTGCCCTTGTAAGCCTTGAGGTCCCCTCGGTCCTACAGGACCCTTAAAACAAAGAAGAAAAGTCGCACAGTGTTCACGGCAATTAATACTTTTAAAATGTTGAGTTGGCTTTGGAAGCTGAACATAGGAAGCAGTGGCGAGGGGAGCGGCTGACATGCTCCATCTGCGCCCATCCCGAAGACAGATAAAGTCAGAGAGATTAAAGTCTGGACGACCCTGGGGTGATGTACAGCCCTCGGTGTCGGGAAGAGAAATACACAGCCCGCCGGCACATACCCAGGGTCTTTAGAACCAGGGCGCTTGCCTGTTAAAGGATGTTTCTGTTAAACCAGAGCATCTGAAGAAAGTAAAATCGTGGCAGGCACAAAGTAGTTATCAAACTGTCCGTCTAATTCTTCAGCCTTACAGCAGGTAACTTTCAGAACGTAAATGAACGTGTTGAAGTAAAAGCTTATGAAATCAATGATAATGGCTAGATTGTTTTCAGTGTTGGCTGAAAATTGTCTGGGGCACTGAGCTTCCTGGGTTCTTTCTTTCTTCCACAACATATATCAAAAATACCAACATTGGCTTCCCTCATTTTCTGTGAAATGATTACCAGAGGCATAATAAAGCGAAGCAAAGGAAAATGCAATGTAAGGGAATTTAATACTGTACATGACTGTAAGCTTTCACAATGTCAAATTTGAGAAAGTACAATTGATTTAACTAAAATCAAGTTTATTCTTATGACAAAGAATTTTAAATTTTGCTTTGAATGGATATCTCAGCTAGCAAGAAAAGTTCCCTTAAAATATAAACACTATCTGGGCCATGGATTTAGCTCAGTGGCACTGTACCTCCCCTGCAAGCACACGGTCTTAAGCTTGATGCCCGATACCAGAGGGAAAAAAAAAAAAAGAAACACGTATCTAATTTAAAATTCAAATGGGTAAAAACTCATATATCTCAGAATAATACCGCAAGATAATCCCTAAGTGGCAGTACATCACTAGTAAATGTAAAAATGCATAAAAGCAATGCTTAATGTATTCATAATTATGGCCTCAAGGATGGGTAGAAAAGTGATCATCAATGAAGTCTGACTTTAAATTTATTGCCTGGAATTCTATTACTCTGGAATGATTTTGAATTATGTTACAATGAAAAAAAAGCGCAAGAGAGTTGGCTTGAAAAGTATTAATTCATTCTACGAAATCGCACTGCTCCAAATACCCAGCATAAACTAATTGCCCAGTGAAATATAGGACTCTTTCTGGCAGTTCACAAAATTCAAAAGAAGACAGAAAGCCCTGCCCAGAAGCCTTGGAGTTGGTACAGTAAGGTAGCCAGAGAATATTAAGCAGGAAGTAATGAAATTGAAGTAGGAAACACTTATTTCAAACTTTTGTAAAATCAGTGTTTCTAACAGCTGCTTATAAGGTTTTTTTTTTTTTTTAATTAAAAGGAACAGTTTTGTGGGGCTGGTAGTTATAAATCTTAAAATGCATTGTTTTTTTTTTCCTTTATGATTGTCCACAAATACTTTGTGTGGTTACAAATCCACTCAGCTGTTAAATCATACATAGTAGGGCTCAATAAATAAATGAGTGAATGGATGGATGGATGGATGGATGGAAAAAAGAATGGACACTATCTCTTGACTAGCTAATTTAAGCCTTTCTTTTTATCATTATTTTTCTACAAACACCTTGGTTATCAATGAAATTTGTACTTACCACAGAGCCAGGCATGAACCCTACTTGACTCCCAAGTCCAGATTTCTCATCCAACCCAGCCATCTGAGCTGAAAATGGCTGTAAAAACAATGGATGGACATGATTTCCACAGTTTAAAATGCACAACAATGTATTTTTTAAATGAGAAATTTACACTCTCTGCAGTTCTTACACAATGCCTCTTTTCAGTATCACGTAAAACCTGTGACTTTACAGCATGGAAAGAAGATTTGAGGTGATTTTTATTGTGTATTCTTGTGATCAGCCATTGCCCCCAGAGAGTTTTACAATGGGATAAATGTCTGAGAACTGATAAAGCATGGGTCATTCTGATAAGTACTCAGGCCAATGGATCTCAGGTTTAAATCTCCTTAACTGACTTCCAACCATGATGAGAGCATGCCGCGTTTCCAAACAAAACCTCGAGGATTCCTGTAAAACCATGAAGACACTGCATTCCATTTCAGACTATTTTAGGTAAATGGTAACCTTCTTTCTTTGATGAAGGCATTTAAATTTTACATTGCATTTATATAAATTGCTAAAAAATTATAATCTTTTAAATGAATCTCATAATGTTCCAAGGATGAAAAGCAGTTTAATCTATTCTCTTGCACATTTTTAAAAACTCTGGTAATCCAAGTGACCAAGACTGTTTATCTCCATTCTAATAATTATAATAATTTCCAGTTTAGTGAGGAAAAAAATGGGTCTATTGCTTAAAAAATTAAGTTGACGATCCATGAGAATCAGTTGAGAAACACATGTATGAACTGCTATAAAACAGAAATGGTATTCAGAGTTACACATTTCCTTCTTATGCTTCACAGACCTCTTCTCTCCAGACCTCTAAGAAGTCAGAGAGAGCAGACATTTTATTTTACTTCACACAGGAAACTAAAATTTAGGCAATAATTAGATAGTATTTTTAGTGACTTTCTCGTGTAAATCATCACAGATGTCTCTTTTTTAAAACTCAAAATCTTAATTACACAAAAGTAGTCTGATTTGCTTATTTTTTTCTCATTTTATGATTCACATTTTTTTTTAACTTGTCAGTTTATGCTTGCAATATGTAGTGATGACATCCCACAGCCTCCAGGAACTGGTTTCCTGCAGGACATTTTTTCCATGGACCAGGGTGGGGTGGGGCAGGCTTCAGGGTGTTCTAAGGAGCCCACAACCTAGAACCCTGGCGTGCAGGTCTCCGTAGGGTTCCAGCTCCTCTGAGAATCGCATGCCCCACCCTCACACGCAGTCTGACAGGAGGCAGAGCCTGGAAGCTGGCAACAGGAGTTGTGTGAAGACAGAAGAAGCGTCACCCCTCCTCCTGCTTTGTGGCCAGCTTCCTAAAAGGCCAGGAGCCAGGGCTGGTCCACGGCCCAGGGTTTGGGAACCCCAGATGACATCCATCTCGGGGAACTGGTACATACACATATGACATCTTCGTCATATTTACTCCCCTTTCCCATCCCAGGCCTCCCTTCCAGTCAAGCTCTCCTGATGGAAGGATGTAGTGTTGATTTTGTCAGCATTCTGAGCCCCAAGATCAGGAGGAGAGAGAGGAATCTCTCCAGTTTATAGGGAGTGCAATGCCAGTGTCCCTTTAGGGTCAGCAGAAAGAATCAAGTTGATGGCATCCAGAATTGACTTTGATAAAGACAAATCATCTAAGGCAGCACTTTCCAAGATGCTACTTTGAATTTTCTAAGAGTCCATTATGGATATGTTAATTTTGCTTGTTCAGAGGTTCGGAGGAGTGTGCGTTCCCATAATAGCTCTTACAGTCCTCTACCAGGGCCTGAACAGCCACAATCTGAACTCATAGCAGTAAAGCAATAATTTAGCATATTATCAAATGTGACACTGAACAGTGCCCAACTCACCCTGCTCATGCCATCAGGTCCTGGGTGAGAAGGATGGCCTGGAGGCCCCGGAGAACCAGGCTGGCCGGGAATTCCTGGTTCTCCATCAATTCCCTGAGGACCACGAGGACCCTGGAAAAGCAAACCAGTGTAAATTAGAACCCACTAAGTACAAAAATGTACTTAGCAGAAAGCTAAAAGCACAGATTCCTTGATGGCAGCCCAAATGGTAATCTAGACACTGGAGCTACGTGGGCAATGTCGACTTCAACACCAAGCAGAGCTTCTACCACTGAGACACAGTCTAGTTTAAGCCTTTTACTTGATACATTCAATTCACACAGTCTTCATTTTCAGTCAGTAGCATTCTAGACTGAGCTTCCTTACTTGGTTGAGTTTTGTTGCTCAAGAATATTCAATCAACAATTTTTAAATTTACTCATCTGTATTAGATTATAGTTAACTATGAATACGCCTGCTTAGTTTCTTTTCCCTCCAACCCTCAAAAATGTGAGGTCCAGTTGTTTGGAGTTTGTGGGTTTTTCATCTTTGGGGTTGTTTAATGCTTTGCATAGTTTCTGGTGCATAGCAGGCACCCAGTGCATGTGGATTACATTTTCCCATTTCAGTCCCCTTTAGGTTTTCCAAGTCTGGCATATGTTATTGTCCTTTCCCACCCAAGAGGCAGAATAGAGCAGTGAGAAATTAGAGACACAGGCGCTGTGATCTGGCCACGTCTGGTCCTCGGAGAAGTGAGTAATGATCCCAGCTGCCAAACTCCACCCTTCTCCTAACCTACATTCCCAAGGCAGCTTGGGGAACAGCCACGTCCTCAGTCCTGGAAAAGCTCCATCTCCTAACCTCACCATTCCCATCAGTCTTGCTAACTATTTTCTGGCTTGTTATTCTTAAAAGAGTCTTACCACACTTTAAAAGGAAGGCATGGAGCATAGAAGTCATACGATGATGCACTTTCTATCATTAAAAGCAGGAATGGAGAAAATATAGTACATGATGTTACAACTTCATAGTAAAAGAAGCTTCTCATACTTACCCGAGAGAGTAGCTACTGGCTAGGAAGCAATTAAAAATTGAGCCAATAGTGCAAGGGGAAAGCGGAGGACACACCACGGTGGTGGAGAGGGCAGTTTGCATACGATGGTTTGGGAAGGGTGGTATAACAGCAACTGAAAATTTGGATTACTGTGTTTGAAAATACTTTCTATATTCAATTATATTTGATATTAATATTTTAAATATTTTCCCACAAACAAAAATGTACCTATTGTGCATACACTAGTACTCTAGGAAGTAGGTGAGTCATACAGACACATGTAGGCATGTTTACTTCTTGGAGTAGAACGATGAATAAGCAAACTGATTCAAATCAAAGGAGATACATAAGCCTGAAAACTCACATTTTTAAAAAAAAAATATTTCTTAGATCAATCTCTTGTTTTAAGCAACCTAAACCACTGAAAATGCACTCTACTCTCCTCATTACCCATAATAGAGGCTGAGTGTAAGTGCTGTCTAGGGTTCCAAATCACATGAAAGTGAACACACTTCGAAATGTGTGTTATCAGCGGTGGTGTAAACAGAGCAATTGCCTGGTGTATTCATATAGCCTCGTGTGGAAAACTCTTAATATGTTCTTGCAATATTTGATGGCTAAATGATAATCAATTATTCTATACAAAAGGAAGTTAAAACATAATCTCTGCTCTCGAAATTTCCAAAGACAAAATATTAAACTATGTTTAGTGTCCATGTGAGGAGAGACATTTGGGTAATATTCGTCCTTCAAATAGCTTGTGTTATTTCTCCAATCAGTGATTACTTCTGATTAGATGTCAAACTTCCTTCTGAAGAAAACCCACATTTTCACTGACTTCTTGATTCACTCTGACTCTTCCTAGTACTCATTTTAAATAACCTCCATGTGTTATTTTTCTACAACTTTAGGTTAAAATTAATAAAAAATGAAAATTAGCCAAAATTAAGTGAAGAAAAAGAAAAATGAAGGGCAAGTGAGAAAAATATAATTCAGAATGTTTTAGGTAAACAAAAATAAATTATGATGGGGAATTCATTAAAAGTACATTTTAATATTTCCAAGTGAAGTGAATCACATAGTTTTTTTATATTAAGGTAAATTTTCTATTTACTATCATTCACTCCTTTGGCCAGAACATTCTAGCACAGTGTTTCTAGCAGCAATTTACATAAATAGTACTTATCTCACCAAAAAGTACTTGCAGATGGCCACTAGGTGGCGACCTTTAAACGTTCACAAGTAGAAAAAGTAGAACTGGTGAACTTTTTGTGAACCTTACCTACTGGTAAGGTTAACAATATTGTTAACTGCTGGTTAACAATATTGCACACAAACGCATACACGCGCATACACTGTGGATCGTTAGAGCTGCGGGAATGGTTACATTTTCCGTTTACAGATGAGAAGCTGATACTCTTAGAGGTAAAAGGCCCGACGCTATCACAACTCCACCCGCTACTGGTGGCCCATCGTGCTAATAGGATGCTGCTTGGTCACTCTGAAGTGACTCAGACAACACACATCAAACGGAAGACGTTTGTAAGAGAAGCCATGAAAACCACTGGCTGGTACTGAAGGCCTCAAGAGAGTATCAGTAGTTCTCAATCCAGAGCAATTTTACCTAGACTTGGAAACATCAAGAGACGTTTTTAGTTTTCACAGTTGAGCGGGCTGGAGGCTGCTACCGGCATCTCATCAAAGTAGCAAAATGTCCTGCAGTGCATAAGGAATTATAGCTGACCCAAATTATCAGCTGTGTTGAGGTGGAGAAACCATGCCAAACACTGTGAGCCTCTGTGTTTTGATGATGATGGAAGTAGAGCAAGGAAATGGCATTTATGGTTCCAGTACCACCCTGAACTGTGTTGGCAGTGACGTTAGTCCAGCTTGGCAACTTCTGGTGGGCTTGGGATCCGAAGCCAAACTCTCTGCCTGTGAGTGGGTTTTCCGTGAGGCTTTGCTGCAGCTGGAGTCAGCCACGGCAGGGGTGTTCACACCTGGGAAATCACCAAAAGCTGCGCACTTCCAGAGTTTTTTCTAAAGACAGCGTTGTTGAACACCTGCCATCCCTCCACTGCTTGTTTACTAGGATAAACAGAGGAACCGATTTCCTACATGGGTATCTGCCAGGATTATCTTGCTTCCTCATAAGTAACCTCTTTTGTCTTCTTTTCACACACATACATACACAGCAATCAAACTCAGTTCACATGGAGTGTCTTGGGCCTAACCAAGATGAGATGAACTACATCATACACTAAGCCAAGGAGGAAAGAGAAAGGAAATAAGACACTAGGAGAGTCAGCTAACTGGATCTTAAGCAGGAATTCTGGGAGCCTGGCCAGCTTCCGTAGCCACTCCCACCGGGACTGAACTCAGTGTTGCCAGTCCCTCACAGCGAACAGACACACTGACCCAAAGCACTTTCTGCATGACCAGCCACCCTCCATGTGTCTGAGTTCATCTTCTATCCAGCTCTGTCATTCTAGACCCTGGACCGACGTCAGGAGAGCAAGCGGGGTGTAAGCTGCCAACACCTCCCAGGACCCCTCAGAACAGCAATGAAGAACGCAGTACCAAACCAGCAGAGCAAAGTCCTGCACCGTGGGTCTCCACCCGACTTCATGTGCACACCTGTGAACACCACCGGACACCAGCACCACCGCAGAGAAGTAATGACATGGTATTGTTCGGGGAAGTGGGTGATGTATCAAATACGGACAAAAATGAAAGGAGCGGCAGCAAGAGCTCTTGGAATAGTGATCCAAAGTATGTTTTGCCCTCATTGATATACCAAAGTTGTCTATTGCTTCCTTGCTCTTTTATCCACTTAGATATGGATAAATACATATAGAACACTAAAAATCCACTGCAAGTTGTTTCAGTAGACACAAGTAAGCAAATCAAACAAATTTTTCTAGTTAAAATACAGTACAGTTATAACAACCCATAAAGTAATCCAGTTATTCAATATGTGAAAGACACATGTACTGTACGTATGAGAAAGAGATAGGAAAAGGAATTGTGCTACCAAGTAGAGAAGAATACAGCCTATGAGGATAGATAATGAGAGAAGATTTTGGCACATATTATGCAATGAATGTCATGTTTTATTCCAAGGGTATGAAGGTGATTATTTCTATTCAAAGGTGTCCTCTTTATCTTGTAATAGGGCTGTCATTTTTTTAATTGCTCCTTTGATATCTCTATAGCAGCTGTTCAGTGAAAAAGGCAGAGTTCTACCATGGAAATAAATTCGTTGTGCAGCCACTTGAAAGTAAGTTTTATCCTCTGATAACTCATTTTTCTGTTATCCAGTTTGATTATTCCTAAGGCAACCACAGATCACAGAATTTGGGTGTTTTTTTCCAATGATACATTCTCAGCATTGTTTACTTATGAGAGACAACTTCAGAAAATAAGATGTGTTGATTACATTTCCTCAAATTCTACTTTAATTTATTTTAATTTGATCCTTAAAAAGAACAGAGATATCTGAGTTATCTATTAATATAATAGGCATTAAGAGAACGTGACAATTTCCTCTGTACTAAGAGGTACAGGACCACGTTGAGATGCGGATTCTCTGTGACAGAGCAACAGTGTCACTGCCTTCTGTTGCCCCAGTGCATGGTGCAGACTGACCTATTTCATACCTATTTGTGCCCACTGAGCTCCCTGTCTACTTACGGGTCTTCCTTTGGGGCCTCGCTCTCCTCTCGGTCCCTGTGACCCTGGAGGACCCTGAAAAAGACAATAATGATTTTCTGGAAACATTTATATTTTAACCGTGTTCATTTCAATCATTAGTTTGATTAGTACAATCGGACAACACAAGTATCACACTTTTGAATCCAGGGCATTGAAGACTATGGAACACACAAACACGTACAAATGAAAGTTCTCTGTGTGCAGGGCTGTTTATTTTAGGAGCAGAGTGTAAAGAACTGTGAAGAATTAGGTGCCACATTACAGCGTCAGGAAGTTCAATGGGCTGAATATAATGACTGGTGATTGCAAGATTTTAAGAATGATTTGTTGTCTTCTCCCAGCTAAAGCTTTTGCCAGTAAATTATGGGAACAAAAAATAGAGTCGGGTTTCACATAAATGTGCAAATGCTAAATTATCATCCAAATTGGTCCATGATACCAAAACAGGTATCACAGTTCAAACTGTTGATAAAACAAATAAAAAGAAAAGCCTTTTGGCTTACTACTGTTTTATGTACATTCAACTATCTTGAGTTAAAATATGGTACTAGTTCCATTCCATGCTTAGAACCCACTTAAAATTTTCCAAATCACCCTTTCCTTAACTTCTCTCTTTAAGAAATGACTACTGTTATTTCAAAAGTAGCGCAACTACACTATGATGGCCTTCAACGGAGTCATGAAGATAGATTACACATTTACCCAATTCAACAAACAGATTTATTTTCAAGAGATGGGAACTTAATATGGTGCACAGGCAGGTCCCAAAACTCCTGGGATCAAGCAATCTTCCTGCCTGGGTATCCCAGGTAGCCGAACTTTACATAACTGCCAAAAAGCAAAAATCTCTGCAAGACTAAAGTTGGTCTGTTGTCTTAGTGTTTTACTTACGCTTACTTGATATGTTTTTCAATTTACATGACACATGTCTGTGTCAATCTAGTTACATATAAATACAGCTGCTAATCCAACCCTAAAAGTTTCTTATGCAAAATGAGAAATATGCTATTCTGATGTATAATTTCTCTATCTACTGCCATATATGACTTAAGTAGATAAAACAGTCCACTCTTAGTCATAGCCAGACAAGAATGCCCTCATTTCGATGAGCAAGGTCAATCTAAAATTAATGCTGTAACAATGGATTGTTTCACTCTTCCTATAAGCAACACTAGCGTGGGAAGAAATAGTCTTCAGGATAAATGACCCGCTATATGTAATTCCTTTCCACAAAGGAATGCCTAAACCTGAAGATGGTTCGAGAAAAACACTTTGTAGAAGCCAAGCACTTTATATACATCATGTTGTCTTCTCATGGATCTCATATCTCTAAAGACTTAAAGAACACAGGATGACTGTCAGAGAAAATTACTTACGGCTGGCCCTGGACGACCGCGAATGCCTGTTACCTAAACAATAAAGAAGAAAATTTTTGAAGGAGATGTTTCTACAGAGCTTCAGAAAAGTTAACAGTCAAACAAATAAGAATAACAACAAAAGCACCAGTGAATTTTTTAACAAACGGGCGCTCTCAATTGGTGCCCTTTCCTCCTTTCCTTATGAGGTAAGACAGCTAGTTATACTCCTTTGAACTCTAGCCTAAGGAGGCAGCATGGATGTAGTGAATAAGGTGTAAGAATGCTAAGGAGACTGAGTTGAAAATCTGACACTTCTCCTTACCAGTTGTGTGACTGTGGACTGATTATTTATCCTCCCTGTGCTTAAATTTGCTTAATGGAAACTGAAATGTAAAACGGTGATGATAATTATGAAATGACTTCCTCTCATAACTGTGTGGTCAAATAAGTGTTTGTAAACTGTTGGGCATCTAAGCGTAGTAAGAAACATAAGCCGATTTAAAAGAAAAGCAAAATTTTAAACACTACCAAATAAATTAAAATTAAACAAATTAAATTAATTGGTCTTGACAGACTGATAACTTCCTTAAAACCTAAGAGAAGAGTGGATGAAGAACTTTCATCCTGTTTAGTGACACACTATTTGATCATCTACAAGTCTAAAGAATTCCAGAGAATTCATGTATAACAATTACGAGAACAACTAAGGCATGATGTATTTCCAAAAATGTGAAACCCTAAACTATTATACAAACTGTCAGTGTATGTCCACGTGCAATCTAGTCCATTTTGTAAAGTTATGATGTTTTTATCTTTAGTTGTGGGCTGTAAAAGTTAAGAATATAGAAAATTAAGTCTTGTTTTGAAACATTAATTTACTGCAGCTTGACTTTGATACTAAAAGCTTTTTATAAAAATAATTTCCTTTTTGAGGCCTGGGATTTAGCTCAGTGGCACCAAGCAAAAGGTCCTGACTTCGATACCTGGTGCCACAAAACAAACAACAACAACTGCTTGAGCCCTTTTTGAGAGGAAGCAATAATATGCAACTATACTGCAGTTAGACTTGAAAACAATGTACATGCTTATACTTACAACAGGCACTAATCCTGGTTCTCCTTTTTGTCCCTGTGAAAGAAAAAGAAAAAAGAAAAAATGTGCAACTAGTAAAATGTAATGGCTCCCTAGCTATGAACATGTCACACCGTTCCGTGTCATGTAAACCCTGGGACATTCTAAGCAGTGCAAAAATGACAAAAGAAAGACATCCAGTCAGACATGATTCATGAAACCCTCACTGTTCTGCTGAAAAGCTCACCTGAATTGATCTAACTTGTGAAATGTGTAGTTGTTTTACTTTAGTTTTTAAATAGATCAAATCATAATAGTACACAAGATCCTAATGAGATAATTAACAATGTGAAATAGGAAGAAAGGGGCTAAAGGTGTGGGGAAAGTGGGAAGGGTAGGGGAAAACTAATAAGGGAAAAGAAAAAAACTATGAGAAAATGAAAATATGGAAATGAAGTGTTTGTAAAGGGGGGAGGGGAGAGAGGTGAAGGGAGGGCAGGGACAAGGGGAAAAAATGAGAATCAAGACCTATCATGTAAAAAGGTACAAGATCCCAGTGATGAATGTAACTGTACTGTATACCTAGAATGTACCAATAAACTCAATAAAGAGAAAAATAAATAAATAAATAGATCAAATCAAAAGGTTGGCTAGAAGCAAGAGTCACTTATGATGAAAAGGTGTAAAGAAAAAGTACCATTGAAAATCACTACCCAAATGTTTAAAAACACAAAGCAAAAATTAAAAATCATTTATAGATTTGACTTTCACAATCAGAGCAGTGATAAGAATTTTACAGTTTCAGTACTTTTCAGCAGCTGGCAGTAGTTCTCCGTTACTATGTGTTATTCCTGAGCCATTTGCTTCCCTCTTAGGGACCTCACTCATTTCATAAAAAAGAAAAGCTCTAATCATTCCAGTCAAACAATTTTCAGTATCCGAGAAAGATGCTGGAAAAATGTCCACTGAATAGAAAACGAAAAAGCAAAAGGCACTATTATAGCTCAAAATACATAAAGTCAAGTCAGTTTATTTGTTGTCAGAGTTAATATAGTAGAGGTAGAGACAATTTGATTTTGTTTTGTTTTGTTTTTGCTTTTTTTGAGACAGGGTCTCACTGTGTAGTTGAGACTGCCCTGGAGCTCACTATGTAGCCCAGGCTGGTCTCAAACTCACAGCGATCCTCCTGCCTCAGCCTCCTGAGTGCTGGGATTACAGGCGTGCACCACCACGCCCGACTGACACTTTGTTTTTGATTCATAGAACTTTAGGTTTTCTAAATCTGGATACTCATTGTATGATGTGAAGTACATAAGTTAAATAACACTGAATGAGCTATAATTATACATTGATGTTCCTCTATTCTATTACATATTCATTTGTATTCTTTGCTGCAGGATTTGTCTTCTGACAGTTCTTGGTCTCGAGGCATCTCACTGTATCTCTGTCCACTTCCTATTCTCAGTGTGGTATGCAGAATTTGTCAATAAATTCTTCTGGATTTTATCAGTCTTCATGAATATATTATGAATGACATATAATATTATTATGTATTTCTTAGACAACTGAGGAAAGTGAATATGCATTCAATTATATGCAAAATCTAGTTTATTAAATTTCTTTTCACATATATTATTCTTTTATGTGATTATAAAATGATATGTGCTCATAATACGGAATTTTGAAAGAAGAGAAAATGTACAGAAAGAGCTCAGTACCCCACTCAGTTCTTAGGAGGTCAGCACCTAGGAGCTTTCTTGATGTCCTTAGCTTTCCATTCGCATGTGCATGTTGCTTTACGTGATGAACACTTTACTGTTTTACTCGAGTTTTGGGACTCATTTTAACATTAAAAACGCACATTACAATAAACATTCTTATTTCTAATTATCTGTGTGGCATCTCTGATGAATATCAGATATTAGGAACATGTTTCTCAAAGTTAAATTTGTGGATTGGAAATCACACATACTTTTAAGATTTTTGATGTAGATCGCCAAATTGTACTCCCGAAAAATACAATCTGCTGACATCTTCCCAACCGTATCTCCTACCTTGATGAATTTTTTAAAGTCAATTTTTAAAATTATTTTAAAGTCCTGATGATCTTGATGATGGAGTCAGTGGAAGATTCCATCTTAATTTTCCTGCGGATTCTAGTGCTGAGGTAAATCCTACTCAGAAGCGAGGAATAAGCAGAAGAGAGAAAGGTCCCTGCAGAAACAGGAGCACTTCTGTAGGACTAGAAGACAACCGGCACAGAGGCTGCGCGAAAGAGGGATCAAAACACGTAGATTTCCAAGGACAAAGCAAAAGGCTTATTTCCACACTCTCTCGCTTATAGACTACTTCCACATTTTAAAATATTAAAATAATACAAATTAGCCACGCATAAAGCTATAATGGAAAATGTTTCTTTGAAATACTAAGAGAATTTGAATTGCTTAGAAACGGTATATAAATGTGTGCACGGTGAATAAAGGAGATTTTGAGAATAATGCTGAAAAAACTACTCCTTCTGCAATAAACAGAACAACACATAAAAAGGAGGAAAATTATTTTAGCCAAAATGAAGAAAATGGAATAGCCTGCTAAGATAGTGGTGAAATGTCTATTTCAAGAGACCTGCAATCAAAGTGCTGATTTTATTCTTATTTTGTATTTCAAGGAATGGCATTCTCTGATATGATTCTTAATTAAAACATAGGCATTGGAAATCTTACATAAGCATTCCATATCTCCACGACATTTGATAAAGATTAAGTGTTCAATTACCGATTTATGGTAACAAATCTCCCAGCGATTATGGAAGTTCGTACTTATTTGGGATGAAAAGCCACAGATGTTGATGTTTTTACTCCCGTGGCCTCTGAATAAGGCAATTCGTGAGAAATGATAATTTGTCTACAGTTTTACAGAATTTAACTTTCACATTTCCCGAGAAACATGAAGTTCATGTACGCAGATTTCAGGTGAGAGCTACATTTACTTGAGCCAGTATCACGTGCCCAAGTTGCTGTGTCACTCGCCTCCTGAAGCGATTGTTTTCAAAACCTCAGTTAAAAAAAAGTTGTTTTTTTTTTGGCGGGGGGGGATGAACATGATAAACGGATGAACTAAAAGTAAAAATCGATGTGGATAGAGACCAAGAGTAAAATGAATCCTGATACCATCGCTCTGCATTCTATTTCTTCCCCCCCCCCTTTATTGAGTTTTTTGGTACATTTTAGGCATACAGTACAGTTACATTCATCATTGGGATCTGGTACCTTTACAGGTCTTGGTTCTCATTTTTCTCCCCTTGTCCCTGCCCTCCCTTCACCCCCTCCTCCCCTCCCCATTTACAAACACTTTATTTCCGTTTTTCACTATTTTTTCCTTTTCCCTTTCCCCTACCCTTGCATTGGTATTTCTGAAGATAACTACCTGATGACAATGAACACAGATGAGGAAAACAGTGGCACAGAACCAGGGAATGGTAAATCGGCAGCTTCTTCGAGCGTGGCCTTTAGAGAAAGGCGGTCAATGATACAGCCCAGCAGTTGCCCCTTCGAAAGTCAGGCGATTACTAACTGAACCAAGCTGACTATTTAAGGGAAGTTCTCACTGTTAGATTTTTCTTACCCTGTTTCATAGTTGCATCTACCTACTCAGCCATCTCTCTTTCATCTAATTTGTTTCAAACCTATACAAATCTATCTCAATCTACTCTAGTGCCCAATAAATGTGAATTAGTATTTGCAGTCCATTTTCTTTGATAGATTTTTGAATCTCCAGGGCTTTACTTAACATTTGTGCCAAAGAGACATATTTGTGGTTATTGCTCTCAGAATCAAAATGTGTTAAACTGGGAAAGAACTACCTTTGATTGATGTCATCACTTTCGTTTAATGTGAAAGCATAGCGCTACTTTATCTGATTATCTGATAAAATCACTTTACTCAAGTTCCATCATGTGCAAAAGTAAAGAAAGTTTAAATTAGCTCCTCAGATGTCTAATATCTGCCATGAAAATTGAACCTGTTGTTCTGCTCTGTGGGTTTTCTACTTTGGATGCCTCGGTTCATCCTATTTGAATAAGACCAAAGCAAATGCCATAATTTCTGAGATACCCAAAACCTGTGAGGGAAGATGAACTCTCTCCACTTATGGGGATCAGCTGTGTCCAGCTAGGGTCACCATTGTCACAGCCTACACCACCACTATCCTCATAAATCCACAGCTCCTCTCCAGAGTTCGATTTTAAGCTCCCTGAAGGTGAGGGACCGGAGAGAAGGGTAAGCAATGTGTTCTGTAAAATTTTCAATATTTTTGGATCTTTACTTCTTAACCCATGGGAGAGGGACAGCAAACCAAAGTAGAACAAAGATTCTTCCTTCCTTCTTCCATTCCTTCTGTTCTTTCTTCTTCTTTTTGTTCTGTCTTTCTTTTATCTACTGTATATTGAGTTTCTAATGTGTGTAAAACATATATTAAGTACAACGATAGTTTTGGGAATATAGAGACTAATAAGAAATAGTCCCAGAGTTGACAGCTTTGTGGCAGAAACAGACATAAAAACAAAAGGTGACCTCAAAGTGGACAGAAGAGAGGGGTCAGCTCTTGTGAAGTGCAGGAGCTGAAGTGCACTCGCTTATTTTTTTACAACCTAGTATTGTGGTGCTTTTGACTTTACACAAGGCCTTCAGACATTTCAGGGCACAGTTCCGTGTGGGCAGTATTAGAAAGAATTCTGCTTATGAAACAGACAATGCAAAATAGAACTTACCTTTCTTCCTCTACCTATAAAAAAGAGAAGTACAAAAATGTTATTCTACGGAGAAACTATTACTAAAACAGGCTAAACATTTACTCTCAATAATAGGTTTCTTAAGTAGTCAGAGTCTAACAAAAAGATTATGAAAACTCTCATTGTTTCAGATCAGTAATTTCCATACAAAGAAAAGCAAGATGTAACTTTCAAACACTCTGACATGGTGTTAATATTCTTCAAAACATTTATATAGCATTTAAAGTTAAATTATAAAATAAGCTATGAAAGTTATAGTGAGTTATAGTTAATAACTATAGTGTTTCTATAGTTATTTTTGGTATTTTTAATGGGTAAGGATAGTCATTCACATGGTTCAAATGTAAAAGTGTACTAAAAGTGTACAATTATATAGTGGAAAACTTTTCCGTTTCTGACTCCACCCCTCTATGAACCTACTAGGAGCCACTCTTGTTGATTTCATGTATTGTTTTCAAGGTTTTTGCTTACATAAACAAATAATAATATAGCCCCTTTTCTACTTTTTCTATATTGCCTCTCATATGTCTTATAGCTATTTAAATTTTAGAGACCTTTGCATAACAGTAGTTTCTTTGTTGGGTTCTTTGTAAATTTTGTTTCATTGTTCTACTGTATGAAACTACAATCTTTTTCACTAATATGTCCTTCACCCTGAGATGGACATTTGGGTTATTTCTAAGTTTTTGCTATTACTAAAATATAATTTATTACCCAACCAGGACAGTTTGAATGATGAAAAAAGATATTGTTTAATGTGCCAGGAAAGTGGGTATAATTTGGAATTTTCACGGGCAAACTACCAAGGAGTACTTCATGATTTTGTGGTTCTGACTGTGAATCAGAATTAAGCCTTCTTTACTAGGCAAACACGACCACTGAGCTACATGCCAGCCCAAGAAAACATTCAGTATTTTAGAACTATTTTTTTAAATCTTCTCTGTTATCTTTTAAATCATTATAATTTTTTTATTCATTTAAGTCGCTGATTTGTTTGGAACTTTCCCTGCTATAGGGTGCATGAATACTCAGTCCCACACCACACCCCAACCCTTCCAGTAAGTCTTTTTTTGTTTTTGTTTTTGTTTTTGTTTTTGTTTGTTTTTTGAGAGAGGGTCTCGCTGTGTAGTTGAGACTGACCTGGAACTCACTATGTAGCCCAAGTTGGTCTCAAACTCACAGTGATCCTCCTGCCTCAGCCTCCCAAGTGCTGGGATTATAGGCGTGCGCCACCATGCCCAGCTTTTTCCAATAAGTCTTATGCAATTTTTCTTTTCTTCTCCGCTAAAATCCCATGCTTTTCATATTCAAGCTAAGCAGGTATATTTGGATCTTTTCAAGACTAATCTATTCCTTTAAAATCTACTCATGTATCTAGGCCACACATTTTAAACATGGGAGACTTTTTAGCTTGGTTAGTTTGCTTGTTTATGCTGACATGCTGAGACTTGAACCCAGAGCCTGATGCATACTCAGCTAATGCTCTACCACTGAGCTATATCCCCCAGCTACACTTCTGTATCTTGCAGGACTAGTCATTGGTTAATTTGGTTAATTTCTGTTCTTCCTAAGGGCTTGTCTAACAATTTTTTCTTGTTTATTCTGTGCAAATTTTTGTTTATATGTCAAATTTTTAAAGAAAATATTATTGGTATTAGGTTAAAATTAGTAATTAACTTATGGAAAATTGATTTGCTTGTGATGTTTAACATTCCTCACTAATAACATAATTTTTTGTCTTTGCTTGAACTAGCAGTATTTTAAAGTTTTCTTCAGATGTATCTTATATATTTTGTGGTCATTTTATCCTTAGGCATCTGTTACTGTTACAAGTCAGGTGTTTTTCATTCTCACTATTTACAGTATGGTAAAACTGTTTACTCACAGTAAACCTATTCATTTCTGGGTTTTTTTTTCTACTGTACTGTTTTAATAAATTATCTTGTTTTCTAGTATTCACAACTCAAGTTTATCAGGACTTATAAACACACATTTTCTACAAATGGTACTTTGGCTCTTCCTTTATAATTTTAAAATATCATTTCTTTTTCTCATTTGTCCAGACACAATCAATCAGTGCTGTTACGTTATTTTCCTCTACTATACCATTGCTTTTTGTGTACAATTGCATTAATTTCTTGGGGTACTCTTGTTCACAGCTATCCTCTTCTTGTCCTTTACATATATGGTATTCTTTCTAATTCTTTAAGATTGGCTTTTACATTTTATTATTTTTTCCTCATTTCTATCATCCTTTCTCTGCCAGTATTTCAGTATCAGCTCAACTTGATGTCCTTCTTATTTCATCTTCATTTCCCTTTGATAACTTTAGTTTTCTTCCTATTCCTTTGCAAACCATTCTTCATTTCTTTCTGCTTAATGACTGTTTCCCTTGAGGCAGTTACTTTTTATTAAGCTTTATTTAGTTTATAGCAAAATAATTGGCCAGAACATTAATCTGGTCTTTGGTAACATATTTATGAGTGTGATCTTGATCTCACAAGTTTAACTGAAGTCAATTACCTTGTGTTTCTTAGAGTTTATTTGTATAAAGTTATCACCACATCCTTTTTCATTATCTAATATGAAAAGAGTTGCACTTTCCTAGAAAATCTATTTATAAGAAGTTATATATTTTGTTGTGTTTTCTGATATTAGCCACTATTATTGCAACTTATGGTGGGCTGATCTCTATAGATTTAACTTGGGTTTCCCTCAAGATTGTTTCTGCTTTGGGGATCCTTACATGACTTATTTTTAATTCTTCCTATGATCATGTTGCTGAAAATTCAGGTTGTGTTTACTCAAAACACATCGTTACTGTTGAATGATATTCAGGAACACAAAAAGTAAGTCAATGTCTAATATTTTTGCATTATTTGTTGTTATCTGCATTGGAATTTTGGGGAAAAAAATAAAACCTTGACTTTGCCTTGAAAACTGCTGAGGACTTTTTAAATAAATAACCTAAAAGCTTAACATCAATGTTTCCTAGTTCATTTAAATACATAAATATGAACTTATTTTCCTGTAGCCAAGTCTCTTATATCATTATTTTCCTCATATCCAAGTCTCTTTAACATGTGTACTCATACTCAAATGTATAATATCTTTTAAACATAAACACTTTTGTTTAAAACTGTTTTCAAAACCAGTCATTTATAGCCTTCCTTGGAAACCTATTCCATCCTTTTATCTTACATAGCCAACATAAAAAAGCATATTGTATTTATGACCCAATGTGGTAGAAGATGCTATGGCAGTAAATTATATTAGAAATGATTATACTATTCCCTAGTGTAAAGTTGGTACAGGAAAAATAGATGTTTTCTATATCTTATTTGGGGCATTAAAGAACTTCATATAAAATTAAAATATATATTGGAATATCCATCATGAAACAGTAACAAAGGGTGATCTTAACGGGCACAAGAAATTTTCAAATTAGATACAACCACTCAAAACTCAGCCAAAAATATTTCTCCAATATTTAAGACAGGAAATCACTGTCTGCGTCTATGATGTGTAATTTTGAAGTGTACAAAATCATTACTCCCAGAGACCACTGAATAAATGTTTTTAATTTTTCTCTTGGATTGCTAAAAGCAAAACGAACAAAAAACACTGGAACTAAAATGATGTCTCATTGGTTCAACCCCTTGCTGGCCCTAAGCATTCTTACCAAAATTGGTATTTCCACTTCCAGGTGTTTGTGGACAGACAGGGCAGCACTCTCCAGGAGGGGTCACAGGGTCAGCGCAGCTCAGCACTTCCTGACACTGTATCTTGTCACAGAGAATGGCTCCATTGTCGCAGACACAGATCTGGCATGCACTAGGTTTCCAAATGTCCCTGTTTAAGTACATCTGGCCATTCTGAGTGCAGGCTATTTCTTCAGTATACTCATCTAAAATAAGAAGAACAAACAGAGGTTGGTAATCTGATATTTTGGAGTTTGGAAAGAATTTGGGAAGACTTAAAGACAATGAGTCGGCTTGTGGTTTCTATATAATTCTAGGGTAAGTAACCTATCAGTGAGACAAAACAAGGAGAACTTATTCCATTTGGTATTTACATACAAACTAATATGCAATAGTCAAACATAAGAAGATTCATAAAGAGAGATAAAAATAAACCGGTTGAAAGGGGGAGAAAAAGACAATTTCAGAAAGGAATACAGTGTGGAAACACAATATTTGAGGAACTTTACATGACTTTAAATTCACTAGAAACTTTAGTAAACTGTGTATCAGGAGACAATGTGTGCCAATGTTCCAAGAGAAAAAATCCTCAAAAGAAAAATGTATAGGTTTATTAAAATTATTTTAAACTTAGAGTGAAAAAAGAATAGCCATTTTCTATTAATGAACTAGATTTTCATCCACCATCCTAAACTACAGGTAGACGCTAAGTTGTAATAATATGGTAAAACTCATAGAGATAATTATCCTTTCACTAAATTAATTAAGGAAAGGTATAACCAAAACAATATAATGTGTGATGTAATATCCACCAGATACTTTTCTGTAATTGGATAAAAATTTAAGACAGACTGTAAAACTACATGCACACATGTACATACATAATAACAGCAGTTCTATTCATACATGAATATCAAGAATACACATTTATCTTTAACTTTGCAATTATTATAGGAATCAGAACTATAGTGTTTTACAGATAAGGTGGATCATATAACCCTTACTTAAGTCCTTTGGGTGCTTCCCAATTACTTAAAATTCATAGCTGCTTTAGGAAGGTTAAACACCTTCTTTCCCTTTTTTTTTTTTTTTTGCACAAATTAATCACACTGCTTGATATTACTTTTTTCCCTGTCCCAGGTTCTCATTGCTTAATTGTCACCTCTCCCAAAATTATTTTCTGATCATCATAACACCACTAGGCTCTCTTTACTGATCTGAAATATATTCGAGAACACTTTTTAAGGAACTCCTTTACGTAGACACTCATTATTTCTTTGGTGTGTATTATATGCAAAATAATAAAATTTTGCTAAACTGTGAACAAATAGACAATCACCACTTCAGTAAAATTGGTTACAGTTGTTAACATATTTATTATTATCTTTTACACTAAAAAATAAACTTTCTAAATTTACATTTTTGGTCATTGTGTTTCATATGGTCTGCACCATTCCTTTCACAGAACAGCCATTCAATAACTACCTGTCAGTTAGGAAGGAAGAAATTCAAATTATGTTTCACCAAATTAATTGCACAGCATTAACTGTGAAGTTTGTATAAAACCAAATTTAAAATTATATTTGTAATCAATCTTTGAATGATTATTATTTGGCATATAAAATGCTCAAATGAAACTGCAGAGCTTCAGAAGAAAATACTTCAGTTTAAAATAACAATATTAACCAAAAAAAGCACAACATGCATTTAGTATTTATAAAATATATCTCAATATATCTAGAAAAATAACATTTTTCTCATTGCATCGTGGACTATGAAGCATGTTTGAAAAATATGGTGAATGCTTCAGTTTTTTATAACTGATTACAGTAAAAAACACATTGCCATTATTTACCCTCAAAATATTCCCTCACTTCGTATGCAATTATCCCATCCTTCTTAGCACTTTCTGACCATCTGGATGTTCTCCTTCATGAGTGTTCATTGTGCTGCCATGACTGCCTTAATGTCCTGACTTGATTCAAAACATTTGCTGCTCATGGTCATTTTCACTTTGAGGAAGAGCCAGAAGCTGCGTGGAGGCAGCTGGTGACTAAGGTGGACGGGAATGCACCATGATATTTTTATAAGCCTCCCTTTCCTGAGTGGCACTCAATAGTACATTGACCATATTTGGGATCACAACTCATGGAGATATTTACAAAAGAGGAGTTCCAGAACTGCTTCAGAAAAATAGCAGGAATGATGGGATAAGTGTGTTGGAAGTCAGGGAGAGAACTTGGCAAATTCGCGATCATCATCAGATATTTGGCAAATACACAAATCAGTTTCATCATCAGATATTTGGCAAATGCGCAATGACTTTCAGAGCACAACACTACATCTTCATACTTTGCATGCTATTTTAGAAAAATATCACTAAGTTTCTAACCTGTTTTGCCTTCATCAAAAACTTTTACCAAAACAATACACAGCTGGTCAACAAAATATTTGCTCTATGTACAACGGGCTGTTACAGACACTTAAAACCAAGGAGAGAGTAGGACTCCTTTTATTGTGCTTTTTTTGCAAGGCCATTTTGAAAAAGCAATAGGAATGTGAACATCAAATAAGCAGTGTAATGTTTGGATCAAAAAAAAAAAATCAATGCAGTTCCATGATGAACATTTTCCAAAATGACCTGTACAAAAATGGATTTGCATCCATGGTCCAGTGAAGAGTCACTTTAAGTGACAAAAGAGAAATAACTTTGTTCATTGACTTTTATGACTGAGTATGAAATATTCACTCACAAGTGTTAAATACTATTGCTGGAAATGAGATATGGCCTAAGTTCAATTAGCTTATTTATTAATGCCCAGGGCAACAGTGGTTGAAAGGAAGGGGGTAATATTTAAACATTTTTACAGAGAATTTGTAGAGTATTGAATTTGCAAAATATCGCAAGCCTATGCCTTCTGTTCTTGAAATACCTCTTAAGATTGTGGACTACATATCTATCTGTGGAGAAATATATATATATCTTTTTATATATTATGACAATATATGTTATATATAAAATTGTGGAGTCATCTATGTATTTAGGCAATAAATAATTTTATATAAATTATTCTTTAATATAAAAATTACATAAAACTAACAACTTTATTATGGGGGTAACAAAGTTTATATTATAATAAAATTCATGTTATAATAAAGTTGAATATACACAAATATTACATCACTGATGAAATACACATTAGGAAGCAGTCAGAGAATATGAAAAACCAATAAAAACAAGAAGGCACACAATAAGGTTGTCCACTAAACATTATTAAAAATGTGTGAGAAAAATCTTCCGTGGTGACTTAGCATCCTGTCTGATTCCTTTGGGGCTGGAATACAAAGAAATTGATTCCGGATAAACACGGACAAAAGCAGTTTCTTCCTAGAGGCTGAAAAGGTGAGGTCTCCCTGAGAGGCACAGACAGGGGTCACTGCCTTACTTTCCTTAAACAAATGGTAAAAGCTAGTGTCACGCTCTGATTCTTCACTGATCTCTTTCCCCTGAAAATTCCTAATTAAATTTAGGATGATATGGAAATGTAGTTGGAATGTTTTAAATGCAAGGGGATGAAAAACCACATTCCCTGCTAAATGCTGCCTTCTCTTCACCCACGCAAGGATCACAGTGAACTCTTACTGCTCACAGCTGAATGAAAGACACCTACAAAGAAACCATGGGCAGAAAGTATGGGATGCCTGGTACTCTTCGTGTTGCTACATAGTAGTTAGCTGTACACTGTATGATTAGGCTGTTCCTTCTGCTTTCTACACAGACGCTGGCTTAAATGAAAAGTAAAGTAAAATAGAAAATAAATTTGCGGCCAATTTGTTTAAAACATTTGCAGTGTAGTTGTCATACATAATTATTTTATGAATGACAGTGACATTAAAAAGTAACTAAGAACTCTCAAATGATATGCTGAGAAATTCAAGACTGTCCGCCTGATTCCTCCACCCAAATCATAAAATTTTAACCCAAACTGACATCTAAAGCCTAGATCCAAGGCTCAGAACTTAACATATGCACAATATAATGTTGTTTCTTAAAGTACTTGATAAAACAAGAATTTTTAACACTCTGAAAAGGAGCTCCAAAACTAATTATGCTGCTTGAATTTTAAATTTTTGCTGTTTATGATTCTTTCCGAAATCTTAGGACTTCTATAAATCTAATATTGTTACTATTTTGTAATTTGTATGGCATTGTAACTTCCCCAAATTTTTATCTTTGAAGCTGTAAGTTTCTTTTCCCTGACCAAATGTTCCAACAAATTGAACCCATCATGAAGTCATTCCCACAACAGTCCTGGCACCAATGTCTTAGAGATGAGAGATACAACTCATCTGACCACCCTCTATTTGAAATCAGCTCAACCGTCCAGCTCCCTCACATATCCTCACAGACTTGTCTTCTTGCAAATCTTAAGCTCTTTTAAATGTGTCATTAAATTCCTTATTCTGAGAGTGTTCAAACTATTTCCCCTTCCTGGACTATGAATTCCTTGGGAATCACAGCAGTGTTTGTCTCTGCAACTGTTATGCCCCATATCATATAACCATTCTTTGATAAAATCTGCAGCATGAGCAAATGCCTAAGTGAATGAAGAAAAATATAATTAATTCATTGATACACTTATTAAAGAGCTATTAGCATTTTAGCTCCCATTCCCAAATTTCCCAGAGGATATTCCCTCAGGGCCTCTATTTTGAGTGAAAAGGAAATGGATCACATTCATACTGAATGTGTCCCTGCCACCCAAACCTCTCTGTGTCCAGAAAGGAGGAAAGCTGCATCCATCCTAACAGCATAGCAGCTTGTATTTTAGAACAATTGGCCTTCATGATCCCACTGGGGGTTGTGAAGGTCTGGAATGACATTATTTAAAGTTTCAAACTCCTGACCAGTTGCACCTCAAAGAGAATAAGGTCCACTTTATATTCTGTGTGCTATAATTCTCAGGAGTAACTTCTACGGCAAACTCTGGTCCTATTCCTACGTAGTAACCCTCAGTGTGTAACGTAGATATATGTGCCATGCCACAGATCTCTGTGTAAGTACATGAATGATTTTAAATTTGCTCTCAATGAAGTTTGTTTGCTTAATCTCTCAGCAGTGTGACACTGTTTGAGACAGATAAAAAGGAGAACAAAAATTGGCTAAACTGTTACTTTTTTAAATTAGTAGTATCATGACTTCCAT